ATAAGTTAAAAAATAATAATATTAGGAATATTTATGGAGAGCTTCCTCCATGCTAGGCAAGGCCAGTGTCATGGATGTGTGACCCATGCAGTCACACTGGCCCCCTTTTGCAGAAGGGCCCTGCATTTGGGTTAATGCTCTGCTGTTACCATTTTGAAATTCTTAGTAATTTACGCTATTTTCATTTTGCATTAACCCCACAAATTATGGAGCCAATCCTTGTACCAAGCACTATGTTTATCAAAGAGTATATCATTTAATTTATATTTTTGAAAGATCTCTCAGGTTTCTGCATGTGAAATAGAGTTTAGGGAAAACAAAAGATGAAATAAGACAAGAGAGGAAGCTATAACAGTATTTAAGGTGGTTTTGATTCAGGAAGTGGCTGCAGAGAAGGAGAGTAATCGATAGATTGAAATACATTTTGGAGGCAGTAAGCATTGACATGAACCTGTAATGAATGGAATGTGGGGATTTAGAAAAAGATATTAAGAATAATTTAGGGATTTTTGACTAGAAGTGGCCCCTATTAGAGAAAAAATGTTGGAGAAAGAACAGGTTTGAGGGTGTAGTTAACAGTTGGGTTGAACTTTATGCTAAGTGGAAAAAGCGAGCTACAAAAGACTATGCATTTTACAATTAACTTATATGAAATTTCTAGAAAAGACAAAACTATATAGAAAGTAGGTAAGTGGTTGCCTGAAGCTGAGGGTAGGAGCAAAGATTGGCTGCAGATAGGCATGAGGGAATTGGGGGGAGTTGATGGGAGTATTCTAAAACTGGATTGTGGTGTTGGTTGCATAACTATATAAATTCAGTAAAAATCACTGACCGTCTAGGTGAACTCTGTGATAAGTATAAAGTCATTAAAAGATTAAAATAAGAGATTAAGATGCTTGTGGTTATGTCAAGTAGTACTTGATCTGTTAAATTCCCATTTAACAGATCAAGAAAATAAAAGAAGGTAAAAAGAACAGTTTCATGGTTGCATGACTACTAAGTGTTATATCCAGTATTGGAACTTGAGTCTTTTGGACACTAAGGCCTTACTCTTGAGCACTATAATACATTTACTTTCTATTTAAAATTACGTTTATACATCTGATTAATCAGAAGTTCTCTTAAAGTCATAAAACAGAGAGAGAAGAAGCTGGCAATTGGAAAATTGTGTTGGTCCTGTAAAAGGTGCTTCCATTTCCCCTGGATGTGGGTGGCCCACGCAGCAAGTGGCGCCCTCTTTGTCCTTCCCCAGCGAGTTGTATTAGCACACCCTACTTGGTTCTTTGGCAAACTGTACTTTCTCTTTCAAATTATTATGTTAAGAAATAGTTTCATTAGGCCCCCTGGTAGCTTGAAAGAGTGACTATATCTTCCCAAAATGCTTATGGATACACCTAAATGAACATATATAGCCTTAGTACATTTTATGATTACTGTGCCATTTGCATGACAATTTATATATTAATAAGCATTAAGTATAGGGAAATGTTAGTGAAAGAGTGCAAGCTTTCAGTTATAAGGTGAAAAATCCTGGAACTCTAATGTACACATTGGTAGCTATAGTTAACAGTGCTGTAGTACATACTTGAAATTTGCTAAAAAAAATAGATCTTATAAAAAGTTCTTAACACACACATACAAAATGGTAACTAGGTAAGGTGATGAGTGTGTTAACTATGTTGTAGTTATTTCATTATATATGTATGTTAAATCACTGTGTTGTATACTTTAAGTTTATTCAATTTTACTTGTCAATTATAATTCAATAAAGCTGGGAAGGGGAAGCATTAAGTGCTCACTGTACTTGATGCCAGGGATGCAAGTGGTCATTAAAACAGGCACAGTCTCCGCCCTCCTGCAGCTTTTTTGTTTTTAGTGGAAGAGGCAAACATTACGCCAAAACAAAAAATAATTACACATTTTTTAATTGGGCTAGGTTCAACAAAGGAAAATATAAGGTGCTCTGAGAGAGCATAACAAAGATTCCTGGTTTTAAATGCAGCCTAAGGGGAAACCGCTGTTAGGAAGTAGTAACATTTAAACTGAGATGGGACAGATCTGTAGAAATTAGCAAAGCAAAGGGAGAAAAGGGCAAGAATCTCTCCTAGGACAGGAACAGTGGGCGTGAAGGGCCCGGGGCACCAGAGAGCTGGACTGCTCACCACACTGAAAGCCAGATAAGATAAGAGAACCTGGATACTATGCAAAAGATTTGGTGTTTTATTTCAAGAGCAGTGACGTGCTACTGACTATTTTTGAGCTGGAAATTCATGATTCAATTAAAATGTGAAGATCCTTCTGGCTACCGTGAATAGATCCAAGAAGATTCTGCTGGCTTATGAGGTTTTAGGAAAACTATGGGTCTTACGAATGGCAAAACTATTTCATTTCAATAGTTAAAAGCTAGTTTTGAAAAGACATTTGTCAGTTAAGGGATAGTGAATGAAAATAATGATTGATAAACCAGACCAGACTGGTGTGGCTCAGTTGGTAGGGCATTGATCTGCAAAGCAAAAGGTCACCAGTTTGATGATTCCCAGTCAGGGCACACGTCTGGTTTGCAGGTTCTGTCCCCAACCCCGGTTGGGTGGGTGCATAGATGGGCACCTGATTAATATTTCTCTCTCTCATCTATGTTTCTCTCCCTCTCTTTCTCCCTCCCTTCCCCTCTCTCTAAAAATAAATATATAAAGTCTTTTTTAAATGATTGATAAATCAGTTTATCCCTGAATATCTCACTAGATCAGTGCTTCTGGAGCTTCAATGTACATTCACATCACCCAGGTATTTTTGTCAAATGCAAATTCTGGCTCTGTAGGTCCGAAGTGGGGCATTTCTGCATTTCTAACAAACTCCCAGGTGGTACTTATGCCATCAATCCTTGGCTCACACTTTGAGTAGCAAGTGACTGGGTTATATCCTAAATTCTAAATATATTCAACAGAATATATTCTATCTTTTAGTGCCTCTCAGTCTTCTTGTGGTCTAGCCAGTTGTCAAGCTGGAGTTCTTAAGAAATGAATTAAAGTATTGAGGACATGGCCCTGGCTGGTGTGGCTCAGTGGCTTGAGTGCTGACCTGCTAACAGAGGGATGGCTGGTTTGATTACCACTCAGGGCACATGCCTGGGTTGCAGGCCAGGTCCCCAGTAGGGAGTGCATGAGAGGCAACCACACATTGATGTTTCTTTCCTTCTCTTTCTCCCTCCCTTCCTCTCTCTCTATAAATAAATAAAATCTTTTTTAAAAGTACCGAGGACATGGAGAAACAGGTCAAATAAGGCTTTTCATCTTTTCAATAAATATCCTATATATACTTATTTTTTATGTACCTATCTAACCTGTCTGCCTACCTCCCTGCCTCAAGGCTTAGTTACACTTCAGAAAGATCTATACACAATCAAAGTAATGTCCAGGACAGTTATACAGAAATAGTATGTGGGGTTCTAAAACTTTACCTCTAATGGAATGGTTTGCATCATTAATAGAGGCTTAGTGTGCACCAGGCATTTTACCCTGACTTATTCATTTAACAGATAGGAACCCAGGAACCCTCAGAGGATAGTTTCTTGACAAAGATGTACAACTCAGCTCTGATATTTCATACCTGACTCTCCTACTCATTATCCTACTCATTGCTATTTTGCTTCTTTTGTGACTACAGTCTTAAATACAGAAAACTCAAGGCTCTTTTTTTTTAATTGAAGTACTTTTATTTTATTTTATTTATTTTTTTATAAAGATTTTATTTATTTATCTTTAGAGGGGAAGGGGAGAAGGAGAGAGGGAGAGAAACATCAATGTATGGTTGCCTTTCATGCATCCCCTGCTGGGAACTGGCCTGCAGGGTATGTGCCCTGACTGGGAATTGAACCGCAATAGTCTGGTTCGCAGGCCCGCGCTCAATCCACTGAGCTACACCAGCCCGGGCCAAGGCTCTTTATTCTGTGGGTAAAGGCTTTGTATTTCTCTAAAGACTTTATGGAACTTTGCAGCCATATTTCAATCATTTTATAAGGGTCTTGAGTGGTAAATAAATCTGGTTCCCTGCCCCCCCTCTTTTGGGTGGAGGGGTGCTATCCTTTATTAGCAATGCAACTTCTCTTTGGAAGTTGCATTGCTAATAAATATGAATGTGAGATCTTGGGAAATGCATCGATCAAGTAATGGAAAACATTTGAGATTAAGGTCTATGATAGGAAGGATGCTTGTTGGGAAAGATGGTAGGAAATTTCACATTGTTCCCTAGTTCTTAGGAAATGAAAGCTAAACAATATCCAGTTTTAAAAACAAATCTGCATTGAATTTTTAAATTTCTTAAAACAGAGTTAAACCAAACAGAGAGCAGATCCTGGCGATTTGCTTTACTGAAGGAGTGACAGGGCATTCATTCTACAGTGTCATGTAGTAAGAGGTAAGCAGCAATGTTAACATCGCCACAGAAGTGTTTAATTATTCCTTACAAGAAGAGTCCAGCTAAATCGGGTTTACCCAGTCCTCCGACAAACCAAATCTGTTGGTATTTTTTCCGGACAGCGTTGTATCCTCTTCGGTTTGTTTTGACACCGCCCCCCCCCCCCCCCCGCCTTGCGATTGAAGAGCCATTAAAACATTTACTGGGACAACAGGATAGAGATTGGCTGTGGGAGAAGGGGTGATGGTTGGGGATGGGGGCGGGATAGTGGAGAGCAACGGGGGGGGGGGGCTGGGAAAACTGTCATAAGGCAGTAAAATAAAATTTAAAAAACATTTAATAGACCTTGGTTTAGCTTGAAGCTTTGCAGAACGGTCAGCTTTATCCCCCTAAAATTAGCTTTCCAGGCTAAGGTAGGTTTCCGATGTAACGACACTGCCAAGGCGCTTTGGCCGTGAACTCTGGAAGGAAGCCAGAGGAAAGTGAAGTTCCTGGCGCTCAACTCAAGTCCCGCTCGGAGAGCCGGGCGCTCGCGCGTTCCCCGTGCAGTTATTGGCTGGGACTCTGCGTGCCGCTGTCGGCCAATGAAGACGCTGGAGATCTGGCCCCGGCCCGTCCCCTCTCGGCGCCCCGGGATGAGGCAGAGACTGAACAGCCGGCGAGCAAATCAACGGCATCCAGAAAGCCATGTCCGACTCGGCGCCCAGCGCCCAAGCGCTAACCCGCTGAAAGTTTCTCAGTGAAAACGCCGGGACGATCTGGACCCCGCCGAGAGGAACTGCCTTTGAGTGAGATGGTCCCAGAGGCCCGGAGGAGCGGACTGGTAAGCACCGGGAGAGTGGTGGGAGTTTTGCTTCTGCTTGGCGCCTTGCACAAGGCTTCCGCCCTCATTCGCTATGAGATCCTGGAGGAAAGAGAGAAGGGTTTCGCGGTGGGCAACGTGGTCACGGACCTTGGCTTGGATCTCGGCAGTTTGTCAGCCCGCAGGCTCCGGGTGGTGTCCGGAGCGAGCCGAAGATTCTTTGAGGTGAACCGAGAGACCGGAGAGATGTTCGTGAACGACCGCCTGGATCGAGAGGAGCTTTGTGGGACACTGCCCTCCTGCACCGTCACCCTGGAGTTGGTGGTGGAGAGTCCCCTTGAGCTGTTCAGCGCGGAAGTGGTGATTCAGGATATCAACGACAACAATCCCGCTTTCCCCACCCGGGAAATGAAATTGGAGATTAGTGAGGCCGTGGCGCCGGGCGCGCGCTTTCCGCTGGAGAGCGCGCACGATCCCGATGTGGGAAGTAACTCTTTACAAACCTACGAGCTGAGCCGAAACGAGTACTTTGCGCTTCGGGTGCAGACGCGGGAGGACGGCACCAAGTACGCGGAGCTGGTGCTGGAGCGCGCCCTGGACCGGGAGCGGGAGCCGAGTCTCCAGTTGGTGCTGACGGCGTTGGACGGAGGAACCCCGGCCCGCTCCGCCAGCCTTCCCATTCGCATCACCGTGCTGGACGCCAATGACAACGCGCCCGCCTTCAACCAGTCCTTGTATCGCGCGCGCGTTCTGGAGGATGCAGCCCCCGGCACTCGCGTGGTGCAAGTCCGAGCGACCGATCTGGACGAAGGCCCCAACGGTGAAATCATTTATTCCTTCGGCAGCCACAATCGCGCCGGCGTGCGGGAACTGTTCTCCTTAGACCTCGTAACCGGGGTGCTGACAATCAAGGGTCGATTGGACTTCGAAGACACGAAACTCCACGAGATTTACATACAGGCCAAAGACAAGGGCGCCAATCCCGAAGGAGCGCACTGCAAAGTTTTGGTAGAGGTCGTGGACGTGAATGACAATGCTCCGGAGATCACGGTCACTTCCGTGTACAGCCCGGTCCCCGAGGATGCGCCTCTGGGAACGGTCATCGCTTTGCTCAGTGTGACTGATCTGGATGCTGGGGAGAACGGGCTGGTGACTTGCGAAATTCCACCAGGGCTCCCCTTCAGCCTTACTTCTTCCCTCAAGAATTACTTTACTTTGAGAACCAGCGCAGCCCTGGATCGCGAGACTGGGCCAGAATACAACCTCAGCATCACTGCTCGGGATGCCGGAGCCCCCTCCCTCTCAGCCCTTACGACGGTGAGGGTACAAGTGTCCGACATCAACGACAACCCTCCGCAGTCTTCTCAGTCTTCCTATGACGTCTACGTGGAGGAAAATAACCTCCCCGGGGTTCCAATACTAAATCTAAGCGTCTGGGACCCCGACGCCCCGCAGAACGCTCGCCTTTCCTTCTTTCTGCTGGAGCAAGGAGCTGAAGCTGGGCTAGTGGGTCGCTATTTCACGATAAATCGGGACAGTGGCGTCGTGTCGTCCTTAGTGCCCCTGGACTATGAGGATCGGCGGGAGTTCGAATTAACAGCTCACATCAGCGACGGGGGCACTCCCGTCCTGACCACCAACGTCAGCGTGAACGTATTCGTCACCGATCGCAACGACAACGCCCCCCAGGTGCTGTACCCCCGGCCTGGCCGGAGCTCCGTGGAGCTGCTGCCCCGAGGCACGGCTGCGGGCCACGTGGTTACGCGGGTGGTCGGCTGGGACCCCGATGCGGGACTCAACGCCTGGCTCTCCTACAGCCTCTTGGGAGCCCCCAACCAGAGCCTCTTTGCCGTGGGGCTTCACACGGGTCAAGTCAGTACTGCCCGCCCTGTCCAGGACACGGATTCGCCCAGGCAGACTCTCACGGTTTTGATCAAAGACAACGGGGAGCCGTCCCTGTCCACCACCGCCACCCTGACTGTGTCAGTAACCGAGGAATCTCCTGAGGCCCGGGCTGAGTTCCCCTCCGGCTCTGCCCCTGGGGAGCCGAATAAAAACCTCACCTTTTATCTACTCCTCTCTCTAATCCTGGTCTCCGTGGGGTTCGCAGTCACAGTTTTGGGAGTGATCATATTCAAAGTTTACAAGTGGAAACAGTCCAGGGACTTATACCGAGCTCCGGTGAGCTCCCTGTACCGAACGCCAGGGCCCTCTCTGCACGCGGACGCTGTACGCGGAGGCCTGGTGCCCCCGCACCTGTACCATCAGGTGTACCTCACCACTGACTCGCGCCGCAGCGACCTGCTGCCGAAGAAACCTGGGGCCGCCAGCCCCCTGGCCAGCCACCAGAACACGCTGCGGAGCTGCGATCCGGTGTTCTATAGGCAGGTGTTGGGTGCAGAGAGCTCCCCTCCTGGACAGGTAAGGGTTAGCAAGTCATCCTGGACTGAGATTAAGGCTTTTTGAGGAACATATAGAGCCTGGTTGTTGTTGTTGTTGTTGTTGTTGTTGTGTTTTGTTTTCGTGATGAAGATGTTTTCCTAATGATGCATCCATACTTCCACTTGGCTCTTCCTAGATCGCTGAGCCTTTGCACAGGGGATGGCCTAGAGTGTGGTTTGTGGTCACTCAGTATGGAGTTAATTGACTCATCTGTGGACCCAGTTCACACCCTGAGCAGTCACTGGCTTGCCATAAAAACTAACCAGTCATGCTAAGGGGCAGCTAAACTATAACCCAAGACCTCAGCACTCTGAGTTTAGCTTGGTGTCATTTGCACTGTTTACCTCTAACCGGTGGCCGCTGCTAGGAATATAAAAACTACCTGGTTCACCCATTTGCCAAGTGATTGCACTATAGGCCTCGAAACTAATGGTTTGATGGTAATTTTCCTTTACCTGCACAGATCCTGTACCTCAGTCTTTGATGATTTTCTGTGAAAGAAACAAAATTCTAGGTATCCTTTACATTTTATTTTAAGCACACTAATGGGAATGATGTGCACGTTACTTATAAACTATTATGTTATAATACAGATTCACGTGCAGTATAGAAAATTTGGAAAATAGAGAAATTTATGAAGAAAAATTATAACTAACTGTAATCCCCAAATCCAAGGATAACCACATTAATTATAAAAGTAAAAGCAATCAATTTAAAATAAATCCAGACTGTCCAAAACAACATAAAGTACAAAATGAAAGTTTTTTATACCTTCCATGTAATTCCTTATCTTTCCAGCATTATTTTTTTAGATAGACACAGAATGTGAAAGGTGGGTAAAGTCACATTCTGAGAAAAGTAAAGCTTTTGTTTATTCAGGATGATGTGTAGACCACAAGGCCTTTGTCCTGGAGTGAAATTTATATACACTTCCACTGGTGAGAGAGCCAGAATTTTGTTACTAATAAGTGTATAATCGCTATCAACCTTGGATTTGGCAGTTAGACAAATGAGGCTCCACCATGTACCAACCAGGAGGCCTTGGCCAAGTCAATCCTTCTAAGCCTGTCTCCCCTGTGAAAAAGGAAGTAATGGGGTCTTATGAGATTAGTGCGTGATATCATGGATGTGCACTGCCTGGTGCATCCTAAATGTAGAAAGTTTCTTATCTATTACTATTATTACTTTTATTAGCTCTTACCCACCCCAAACCTTAACCACGCCTTAGAAATGAGCCAATTTGGAGATAGTCGAAGAAGACAATAAATAGCTGCTAAATGACAATATCAGTAATTCACCAAAGCAATAATATATGGAAAGGCTAAGGAAGGATGAAAGCCAGAGAGAAGCAGCTGCTACTCTTCTGGTCACGCTGGAAAACAGCTGACACTTTCCCAAGCTCAATGTTCTCCAGTTTGGTTGCACACACTAGGGACCCTTTAAAAATTCTGAAGCCCAGGCCACATCCCAGACCAATCAAAGCACATCCTCTGGGGGTGGGGCTCAGGGATCAGTAATTTTTAAAAATCCCTAAGTAATTCCAATGTGCAAAGAAGTTAGACAAGAATTGCCCTAGAACCTGCCAGTCTATCAAGTAGCATATTTATGAAGCAAAGTGTTACCCTGGTGTTTACAGAACCAGCAGTCAGCCTTACTAAGCCAGGCCAAGTTTTAAAAATTCTGTGATATTATTTCCCATGCTTAAAATATGACATAGAATATCCCCAGGAGAGCATTGCAGGGAAGACAGAAGGTGATATTTCAGTCATCTAGAGGGACAGTCTCCCTAAACTGCTAGCTACCAGGCAGCTATTCTGTAAAAATCGAGAGCTGGGCAGTGGGTACAAAGGTCTCTTTGGGGACTGGAGAAAATGTTCTACAGTTAGAATGTGGTGCTGGTTGCACTGCTTTAGTATATGTGAATATACTAAATGTGAACATAAGGATTGAGGCTTTGGGATGCTCCAATTGTAGTAATACAGGCTGCATGCCTGTTTGTTTGGGTGTGAGCTTGCAAATAGAAGAGGTTGAGACCTATAAGAAGTCTAATTCTTGGATATTAAAAGCATCAATAAAGGTCCAGTTCATGGTTATAGAGATGACAAACTGGTAGAAAAATCACTTAAGATGTTGTAGAATGAGGTTTTCTTTCTCCCAGACAGACCCCAGAGGTAGGAGCGGGGGGCTTCTAGTTCTGCACATGCTAGTTGTTGAGCTTTAGACAAGTCTCTTAACCTCTCTGAACTCCAGTGTCCTCATCTGTAAAATAAAGATAATACCTCCTTATAAAATTCTTGAGACTGAAAAGAAATGTATATAAAGTGTCTGTGCTCCACATAAAGTAGTCATCTAAAGCATAAGTACTCAATAAATAGTTGCTAAATGATAATATCAATAATTCACCATTCGAATAACTAAATAAATTAAAAAATTTAAAAAAACTAACATGATGGTGTTAATTCAAAATATAATGGAACAAAAACTTGTTTTAAGAAAACTGTTAAAGTTGTGTTAGTTTTGATGAAAATAATATTTTCAAACTACTTTTATTAAAAACCAGTGTATATAAGTTGTATCAGTAAAAAAAATAATAATAATTCACCATTCGTTGAGCACCCCTTCATGCCAGACACTGTAAAAGGTGGAAGACACAGCCCTCCCATTGTGGTACACAGAGCACCATAGGACACAGACATGCAAAAAAATTACAATACAAGAAACAAGGGAAGCAAAGAGAAAGAGACACCTAAGCCTGCCTGGAAATCAGGAAGACCTCATAGAGGCAGTAATGCTTGAGCTAAGACATAAAGATTGAGTAGTAATTTGTTAACTAGTAAAGGGGAAGCAGGGGCGGAGAGGGGATCTTGCAGGAAATTCCATGCTGAGGAATACTGACTGATATACATCGCTGGTGAACTTTAAAGGATGTTTGTTAAACGGTTTTTGCAGGAGATTAATTGAAGCAAATAAGCGGGAGCCAGAGCTTGAATTACCTTTAGCCCAGGCCAAGGAGTTTTTACTGTATTCTGTATCGATAATAGTCATTGTGGAATTCTGAACTGACATGTGTATGATGTCATCTGAGGTTTTTTGCTTGCTTGCTTGCTTGCTTTAGAAAGATTATTCTTGCAGTCATGTGTGAGATGGATTGGGGACACTGAGCCTGGAGACAAGGAAACCCGTTAGAAGGCTATTATACTATTTGAGGAGAAAACTGATAAATGCTTGAACCACCACAGTGGCAGTATAGATGGAGGGAGATGACCATAGTAAAATCATCAGGACTTGTTGATTGACGTAATATAGGTAGTCAGGGAGAGGAATGAGTCAAGGATGACCCGCCCCTCCCTCCTTTGGGTCCAGGCAGCTGGGCGGATGGTGCTGTCTTCCCTGAAGTGAGTCCTAGCATAAACACCTAGTATTTCAGATCGATTTACATCATTCCCTTGGGAGGAGGTTTAGGTGCTTTTGTGAAAGAACACAGAAAACAGATCCCTCCCTTTGAGACCAGAATGTTGGTTGCTGGCCTCACCATAGCCCAAGGGTATTCCTGAGGACCAAGGGTTTGGGGAGAAAGTCCAGGGAGAACAAGAAACCCAGGGTTTGCTCCTGGTTTTGGCATCCAGTGGTAACCTAGGTGAGGATTTGAGTGAGTTCAGAAATACGTCCAGAGCAGGCTTTTTCCTTTATGTTCTGGTGTTTTTGTCACTCAGATTACAGTTTGCAGGTAACTACAGCATAAAATGAACTGTGTTTCTGCGTTCGTGAAAGGTGGTGGTCAGGCTCCTGGAAGGGTCTGGATCTGGGTGGGGGTGGGGCGAGATCCAGTCTGCAGCTCCAAGAAGCCCCCTGGGGCTAAGTGAAAAGCTTGCTCTTTTGAAACAGTCTCTGCTGGTAATTAACAACATATCAAGCATACCAGAGTGTCAAATAAAGGGGATTTGTAGGCACAGTGCTGTTGGTTGCTTGATCTCAATCATTCATGGGAGCTATTAAATCTGTGAACATTTGCCTTCTGCCAGGTAATGAGATCTAGTCCTTAGCACCTCCCAGACACAACTGATTCTTTACTGATTTGGAACATCTCCCTCTCTGCTCTGCTTCTTCTCCTTCCACACTGCCCTTGAAATCAATGAATGGTAATTTCGTATGTCACTAGCAAGCCTCTGAATTAAAAGAGGCTTGGTTTCCGCTGCGCCTCCTGTTACAACAAAAATGTGTGCTGCATACATTTAATTGGTTACATTTATGTGTAAGCCTTTTCTGCAAAGAGGTGGATACGTTTCTGAATAGTCTGAGAGAGGCAGTGTTTTGTGTGTATGGCAGTGCTTCTAATTAGCTGTTGTTGTTTTAATACAATTGGGCCGAGGCACAAGCTACTCATTTAGAGTATTGGTGGGTGACAACACTGGCTTGAACAAAGTGACCAGTCTCAGATGGCTACTCCTCCCTGGGCTGCAGGTTGCTAAGGCTCTGGCTGTAGCTGTTTTTCCCCCGCGGAAAAGGGGCGGGGGAGTTGGTGTGTTGGAGAGAGAGAAAAAACCCCACAACACATGTATGTCGTCCTCTTCTCCATAGAGGTAATAATAACCCACGGAAAGAAATGCTGTTGAACGGGAGGAAGGCGAAAAGATAGGTGTTTTTTTGTTTTGGGTTTTTAATTTTTTTTTTTTTTCCTCCAATGCTGCGACGCATTAACCCTGCTGCTATTGGGACATTCTCTGCTCAGCCTATTGGCTGAGCCCAGGAGCCGCTGTCTGCCAATCGGGTGGTGGAAGGCAGACAAATCTACCCCGCCACCAGAAAAAAAAGAAAAAAAAAAAAACGGCGCGTAACCCTTGCGGTGCCGGCCCAGCCGCGCCAGAACTGGCGCGGGCAAAGGGAGATAGGTGTCTCCAGCTGCTGTGGCCGTTTGGGGCGGGTCGGCTGCTTCTGCTTCTCGGGACCAGGTAGAGAACTAGCGGGCGACAGCAATGCTCCGCAAGGTGAGAGGCTGGGTAGAAATCTGCCCGGGGGCTACCCTTTTGTTCCTCTTGTGCTACCTGGGTTACGTTTGTGGGCAGATCCGCTACCCGGTCCCAGAGGAGTCACAGGAGGGGACTTTTGTAGGGAATGTCGCCCAAGATTTCCTGCTGGATACAGAGAGTCTGTCAGCTCGCAGGCTGCAGGTCGCTGGAGAGGTGAACCAAAGACACTTCCGTGTGGATTTGGACAGCGGAGCCCTGCTCATCAAGAATCCAATCGATCGAGAGGCACTGTGTGGGCTCAGTGCCAACTGCATCGTGCCCCTGGAGTTTGTGACCGAAGGGCCTTTGGAAATGTACCGGGCGGAGGTAGAGATCGTGGATGTGAATGATCACGCCCCCCGATTTCCTCGGCAGCAGCTGGACTTGGAAATTGGGGAGGCAGCTCCTCCAGGACAGCGTTTCCCCTTGGAAAAGGCTCAGGATGCAGATGTGGGGACGAACTCCATCAGTAGCTATAGACTAAGCTCCAACGAACACTTTGCCCTGGATGTCAAGAAGCGCAGCGACGGCAGCCTGGTCCCAGAGCTGCTCCTGGAGAAGCCTTTGGATCGGGAGAAGCAATCAGACTACCGCCTGGTGCTGACCGCTGTGGACGGAGGTAACCCTCCAAGATCTGGCACCGCGGAGCTCCGGGTATCAGTGCTGGACGTGAACGACAACGCCCCAGCCTTCCAACAGTCCAGCTACCGGATCAGCGTGCTGGAGAGCGCGCCAGCCGGCACGCTGCTCGTCCAGCTCAATGCCTCTGACCCGGACTTGGGTCCCAGCGGTAACGTCACCTTTTCTTTCAGTGGTCACACCCCTGACCGTGTGAGAAACCTCTTTAGCCTGCACCCCACTACTGGAAAGCTTACCCTTCAGGGGCCCCTAGACTTTGAGAACGAGAATTACTATGAATTTGATGTTCGGGCTCGTGATGGGGGTTCTCCAGCCATGGAGCAACATTGCAGCCTTCGAGTGGATCTCCTGGATGTGAATGACAATGCCCCCCACATCACCGTGACCTCAGAGCTCGGGACTCTCCCAGAGAGCGCGGAACCTGGCACTGTGGTGGCACTCATCAGTGTGCAGGACCCCGACTCGGGGGCCAACGGAGATGTGAGCCTCCGCATTCCCGACCACTTGCCATTTGCCCTCAAGTCTGCCTTCAGGAACCAGTTCTCCCTGGTGACTGCTGGGCCCTTGGACAGAGAGGCCAAATCTAGCTATGACATCACGGTCACTGCTTCTGATGCTGGGAACCCTCCTCTGAGTACCCAAAGGACTATTTTCCTCAATATTTCCGACGTGAATGATAACCCACCTTCTTTCTTCCAGAGGTCACATGAGGTGTTTGTTCCTGAGAACAATCGCCCAGGGGACCTGCTTTGCTCCCTTGCAGCCTCTGATCCAGACTCTGGCTTGAATGCACTCATCTCATACTCTCTGCTAGAGCCCAGAAATCGAGATGTGTCGGCTTCCTCCTTCATCTCCCTGAACCCCCAGACAGGAGCCGTTCATGCGACTCGATCCTTTGACTATGAGCAAACGCAGACCCTGCAGTTCGAGGTGCAGGCCCGGGACCGGGGCAACCCCCCCCTCAGTAGCACGGTGACAGTGCGCCTGTTTGTGCTGGACCTCAATGACAACGCCCCAGCTGTGCTCCGCCCAAGGGCCCGGCCTGGGTCCTTATGTCCCCAAGCACTGCCGCCATCAGTTGGTGCGGGTCACCTGGTCACAAAAGTGACCGCTGTGGACTTGGATTCAGGTTACAATGCTTGGGTTTCTTATCAGCTCCTGGAAGCACCAGATCCCAGCCTGTTTGCAGTCTCCCGCTATGCCGGGGAGGTGCGGACGGCCGTTCCCATTCCAGCTGACCTCCCGCCACAGAAGCTGGTCATTGTGGTAAAGGACAGTGGTACCCCACCACTCTCCACTTCCGTTACTCTCCTAGTGTCCTTGGAAGAAGACACTCATCCGGTTGTCCCTGATCTTCGAGAATCTTCAGCTCCGAGGGAAGGAGAATCCCGCCTGACCCTCTACTTGGCTGTATCACTAGTGGCAATTTGCTTTGTCTCCTTTGGCTCATTCGTGGCACTACTTTCTAAGTGTCTGCGTGGGGCTGCCTGTGGAGTGACCTGCTTTCCTGCTGGCACCTGTGCGTGTCTCACTCGATCTCGAAGGAGGGAGGGGCTTCCTCCTTCCAATGGGATCCTCCGAATCCAGCTAGGGTCAGATGATCCTATCAAGTTTGTTGATGTGGGCGGCCACTCTCATGGCTGTACCCCCTTGGCCTCTGCGCCCACTCGGAGCGATAGCTTCATGATGGTGAAGTCGCCCAGTGCACCTACGGCAGGGGAGCCTGTTCGCCCAAGCTGCCCACCCTCTGATCTTCTCTATGGGCTAGAGGTGAGATCTTCACAGGCTCAGCCAGTGCTTGAGGGTTATTCTAATCCAGGCATGTGGCTGGGCCGCGTCCCAGAGAGCGTTGGCCTCTCCGTGAGAGCCTGTAGTGATGTCATCATTTTCGTGAGTGGTAACCCTGTGATAGATGCTGTGCTTTGGAAGTGTTTTGTGAATTAACCAGGGAGTTGTCACAGGTTAGGACTCGGGTTTGGGTTATGCCCTTACCCGAGAGTGAGAAATGAAAGTAAGTGGTCAAGAGCCAGGGTACTACGGAGGCCTGCTGCCAGAATGTGGGAGCGTAGACGGACGTAGGCACCAAGGTAGGGTGCGCCAGACAGTCACCTAAACCCAGGTGGCTGCCTTCTCTGCTCTCCCTGAATGAGGGGGCCAGACTCTGGACCACCTTAACTTTAGATTACAGTTTCCCAAAGGCTCGAGGGAAACTAATATTTTTGCCTCGAAGTATCAAGTACTCCCCAACCCACCGCGAAGGGAACTCTCTGCTGGAAACAGAATAGGGCACAAAGAGGAAAGATTCGAAGGAGCAGAGGCATCGAGGTGGAAGGAGAGACCTGCCAGACAATATCTGCAGGACACCCAGTCAGGTCCCCACTGGGATCGGAGCTAGACGCAGTAGGTTGGGGGCAGGGGAGCGTTGCCCCATAGAAGAAAAAAGCAATAAATGAAATCACTTAATGTCAGAAATCTGGTTTACAGATGAGGAATTCATAGAGACAGCTACACGGGGTGGGGTGGTGGTCTCTAAGCAGAGTTCTTCTGAACTGGTGAGACCGGAAGGCCAGATGCCACGCCTCGTTCCTAGTCGCCCTCCTGGGCGACCCGGACCAGTCCCGGAAGTGTTTCCCCTACTCGAAGCTGTGATGCCCATTCCACAGCCCAGGTCTGGGATCTCAGGAAAGCTGAGTCCTGTAGTCATCAGCTGCTACTGAGATCCCTCAGAGCATGGCTGGAGAGCCAGAGCAGGATTCTACATAACCCTAACAAATCTCTTTTCTCATTTTAGCAGCGTTGGCAGGATGGGGTGGGAGGGGGGACACGCGGGCTTTGCCTCCCCCAGAAGGACAAACTTTTGTTGGTTCAACCGAAGTAGTGGAAGCGTCTGAAGTCACACAGAAAGTTACTGGGACAGAGCACTGAGAAGTTTTGTACCACTTTGTCTTCCCTGTTGAGCACCATCTGAGCTGTCAAATTTTGCTGCCAAGGGGGCTGAATCAACCTGCAGCACAAAATGAGTGGGGAAGTAGGAGGCTTCTGTGACACAGATTTGCAGCCTGTTCCTAAGGTTTGCGGGAGTGAGGAGACTTCATAATTGGTTGAGAGCAGACAGACTTTTTGGCCAATCAGACTCAGAGCTGAGGTGGGGGATCTGCTCTTCCTGCCCGCCTCTCCTCCCCCAGCTCCCCAGCTCCACTCAGATTCAATTCCCCTTCCCCCCACCCGCCCCCGCCATTTGGTGACTAAGAAGAGCTGCTGCAGGCAGACAAACCTCGGAGCAGTTTTTAAGAGGCTGGAAGGAGACACAAGAGAGCTCAGCTGCTACATTCCAAGCCCTGGGTCTGCCTCGGATACAGGACAGCACAGAGTCAGTGTCCAGGAAGGGACTTCTGGGTCATGGGGCCCAAGACGCCCTCACAGCTCGCCGGGAAATGGCAAGTGCTGTGCATGCTCTTCTTGTGCTGCTGGGGCTGGGTGTCCGGGCAGCTTCGTTACTCGGTGGCAGAGGAGTCTGAGCCGGGGACGCTGGTGGGGAATGTTGCTCAGGACCTGGGCTTAAAGGTGACAGATCTGTTGAGTCGCCGACTGCAGTTGGGGTCTGAGGAGAACGGGCACTATTTTTCCCTGAGTTTGATGACTGGTGCTCTGGCAGTAAATCGAAAGATTGACCGAGAGAGCCTGTGTGGAGCCAGCACCAGCTGCCTGTTGCCAGTGCAGGTGGTGACCGAACACCCACTGGAACTAACCCGGGTAGAGGTAGAGATCCTGGATCTCAATGACAACTCTCCTAGCTTTGCCATCCCTGAGCGAGAGATACGCATCTCAGAATCAGCTGCATTTGGGGCACGATTCCCTCTGGATAGCGCCCAGGACCCAGATGTGGGCACCAATGCTGTGAGCTTCTACACTCTGAGCCCCAACAACCACTTCTCACTGAATGTGAAGACCCTAAAAGATGGGAAGCTATTCCCAGAGCTGGTGCTAGAGCAGCAGCTGGACCGTGAAGCCCAAGCAAAACATCAGTTGGTGCTCACTGCTGTGGACGGGGGCGTCCCAGCCCGCTCAGGGACCACTCTCATCTCTGTCATTGTGCTGGACGTCAATGATAATGCTCCAACCTTCCAGTCCTCAGTTCTTCGTGTGGGACTCGCAGAGAATGCACCCGTGGGCACACTGCTGCTCCGTCTCAACGCCACTGATCCAGACGAGGGCACCAATGGCCAGCTAGACTATTTTTTTGGAGACCATACATCTGAGGCAGTGCAGAATCTCTTTGGCCTAGACCCTAACAATGGAGCAATCCGTGTGTTGGGTCCCATAGACTTTGAGGAGTCAAGTTTCTATGAAATTCATGCAAGAGCCCGTGACCAGGGACAGCCAGCTATGGAAGGCCACTGTGTGATTCAAGTGGATGTGGGGGATGTCAATGACAATGCCCCCGAGGTACTACTGGCCTCTTTGGTCAACCCTGTCCTGGAGAGCACACCAGTGGGCACAGTAGTGGGATTGTTTAATGTGCGGGACCGAGACTCAGGGAGAAATGGTGAAGTGAGCCTTGATATCTCTCCAGAACTGCCATTTCAGATCAAGCCCTCTGAGAACCACTACTCACTGCTAACCAGCCAGCCCTTGGACCGGGAGGCCACAGCCCACTATATCATCGAGCTGCTGGCCAGGGATGCTGGCTCACCCCCCCTGCACGCACATCTCACCGTCAGGCTGAACATTTCAGATGTGAACGACAACACCCCCTGCTTCACCCAGAAGCTCTATACTGCTTACATCCCAGAAAATCGGCCTCCAGGCTCCCTTCTCTGCACGGTGGCTGCCACCGATCCAGACACTGGGGATAATGCCCGGCTCACCTACTCCATCGTGGGAGATCAGGTTCAGGGAGCCCCAGCCTCCTCCTTTGTGTACATCAACCCTGAGGACGGACGTGTCTTTGCCCAGCGTACCTTTGACTACGAATTGCTGCAGATGATGCACATTGTGGTGGGGGTTCGAGACTCTGGCTCGCCCCCATTGCACGCCAACACATCTCTGCATGTGTTTGTTCTGGACCAGAATGACAATGCCCCAGCTGTGCTGCACCCGAGTCCTGGCTGGGAGCTCTCAGTCCCCCAGCGTCTCCCTCGCTCTGCGCCTCCTGGCTCCTTGGTCACCAAGGTGACAGCCGTGGATGCTGACGCAGGCCATAACGCATGGCTCTCCTATTCACTGTTGCCGCAGTCCACAGCCCCAGGACTCTTCCTGGTGTCCGCACGTACTGGAGAGGTGCGCACAGCCCGGGCCCTACTGGAGGATGACTCTGACACCCAGCAGGTGGTGGTCCTGGTGAGGGACAACGGCAGCCCTTCACTCTCCTCCACAGCCACAGTGCTGCTGGTTCTGGAGGATGAGGACCCTGAGGAAATGCCCAAATCCAGCGACTTCCTCACACGCCCTCCTGAGCGGTCAGACCTTACGCTTTACCTCATTGTGGCTCTTGCAGCCATCAGTCTGTTATCCTTAGTCACCTTCACCTTTCTGTCAGCTAAGTGCCTTCGGGGACACGCGGATGGGGATGGGGGTGGGGGCCAGTGTTGCAAGCGCCAGGACTCACCCTCCAGGGACTACTATAAGCAGTCCAGTCCCAACCTACAGGTGAGCGCAGACGGCACGCTCAAGTACATGGAGGTGACTCTGCGGCCGGCAGACTCGCACAGCCACTGCTACAGGACGTGCTTCTCACCAGCCTCGGATGGCAGTGACTTCACTTTTCTAAGGCCCCTCAGCGTCCAGCAGTCCTCGGCTCTGGCGCTGGAGCCTGATGCCTTCCGGTCCCGCTCTAACACGCTGCGGGAGCCGAGCCAGGTGAGGGGCTTGGCGCGACCCCTGGGGACGCGGTGGAGCCGCCCATCCACCTAGGGGCTTTGAACTTGCAACTATTCCTCTCGTGCGGGCTCGGCTACCAGCTGCGCGTCACGTGGTTCCGACCAACTGCGCGGGACCAGAGGTGTGGCCAAACCGGGGATGAGGCTCTGAGCCCTGGTGGTGGCCATCGGGACAGAACCGACCCCAGCCCCGCCCCCAAACTCAGGAAAGGCTGTGGCTCGGTGATCTTGCCAGTGATTTGCGCCGGGCTCCGGGCTCCGGGGTCCGGGGTGGCGGCAGTCACGGGTCCACGCCCACAGCCAGCCTCCTAGGCTCTGGCCTGCGCACGTGCCGCCGCTCTTTAGCTTCCCTAAGTTCCTTCCCACTCCCTGGGACTTCTGGGATCTGGGACTTTGCTGTTATTCTCAGCCCTCCTTATTCCCAAATCAAACAAACGCATCTGTAGACAGGACGGAGGTGCGCGCAGGGCTCCAGCGTGTCCTCCTCGCAAGGGCCACACACCCGTGAGGACAGCACTACCTCACCTGCACACACGTCCTCGAACTTGCACGCACGCTGCCCCCGCACCTCCTCGCAGCCTCAGAGGTACGGCTGACCGCGCGCCTCGGTGACAGTCTCGGGTTGCGGCTGTCCCGGCCCGCGAGGACTCGCTTTCCGCCCCCGCCCTGGGCCAGAGCGGGTCGCGGGGCGGGGCGCCTAGAGTGTGAGTGCGAATGTGGGCGTGGGTGGGCGTGACTCGTGGACCCTCCGGTCGGGCTGGGCAGGGAAGGCAGCCGTGTGTCCTGCTCAGAGGCCCCCGACGAGTGGGCGGAGCTGTCCTGGGACCTCAAAGGCGCGGCAGGGCTCGGCCTGGGCGAGTGAGCAGGCCGCTACAGGGCCACGCGCGGCCCGTCCGCTCGCGGGAAGTGGGAGCCTGCCGCAACCGGTCTCTGGACCCGCAGAGAGAGGTTTTTGGCTCCGTCGTGACCACAATGTGTCCAGCGGTCTAGGGGTTTTGGGGGTGACCAAAGCACCTGAGACTTTGGCACATGCTTCCTTCTCTGGCTGAACGGTAGAAAGCACAAGTTGCAGCAATCCCAGGAGCTTTTTATTCAAAGCGTATCTATGCCCCAACCTGCCCGCACTGAGTGGGAACTGTATTTTGAAACGGCAGGCCATGCGACTCTGACAGCTGGTAGTCTTACTACACACCCCCTCTGAGAACCGCATCTCCTCGGCTCTTCTCAGCATTAATGCTGGGTAGGTACTAGCACCCCCACCACATAACGGAGTTTCACAGAAGTCAGGTGACTTCTTCAAGTTCTCATGGTAAGTGATAGAGAAAGACCTACCCCAAGTCTGCCTACCATCAGAAGAACGAGCCAGTCGGAAAGCTGGAGGACAGCAGGGCGGGATCACATCTGCTGGGCTGGGGCAGGAGTGGGCCTCACAAGTGGAGAGGAGTCTGTCTGCAGGGGCTCCTCATCCCCCAGCAGCCCTTGCCGAATCAACCTGGACCCTGGACCCTGAGTGCTTTGCGGGCTGTGAATGTGGCCCAGCTCCTCCCCTCCCGTCTGTCCCGGTACCAGCATCTCTGTAGATTCTGCAGTAGCTACCGACGCAGTGGCTGAGGGCTGGACCTCCCTGTGCCCTTGTGCACGGCGGCCCAGCGTGGCGCTGGCGACAACTGTTGAACCTGCGATGCTACGGCTCTGCTCACAGCACTGCCACCTGTGAGCCTTAGAATGAGTCACTTGGCAGCCATGGGTCTTCCTTCTCCCCAGTGGGATCAGAGGTGCTCACACCTCCTTCTCTGCTCCTGGGAGTGAGTGTGAGAATTAATTACTCGCACACCCCAGAACTGGCGAGGAGATGGCTCAGGGAGTGCTGCATGAGAGGGTGTGGCGGGATAACACTCTCGGGAAAGGCCCGGAGGACTCAGGAGGGCAGTGGCTGGCCAGGGTCGCACCTCTGCATCCAGCTCGGGGGTGGCTGCAGAGGAGCCCCTCGGGAGCCCTGGAGACTTGGTCAGCCCTGCCTGGAGGCTGTGGAAGCTGGAACTCTGCTGGGCTTGGTCCAGCAGTTCTCTGTCCCAGACAGAGCGGCCTTGTTCTCTCCTCCTCAGACACAGTCGTTGTCTGGCACAGAGTTCTAGGGGCAAGAGGTGTCCTGGGGCTTGGATGCCCCGCAATGGCCCAGTCTGGCATGACTCCTAAATTAATAATGTATTTAGCTGTGGGAAGGGATCCTCGGTTGCCAAGGGCCTGGAGGAGGTGACCCTCTGAATGTGTCACAGCACAGCCTGGCACGGAAGGGGTTAGCGGGAGCAGTGGCCATCTTGCTGCGGAGGATGCTTTGTTCCCAGCTGAGAAGCTGAATAAATTCTTTTCAGGGCTGGTGGGATTCTCATCTAAAAGCCTCACCTGCCACTTGTGGGGGCCTTTTCTGCACCCTCCCCCCAGCTTCTGTAGAAGACACTTTTAGCCCTTGAATCTCAGTTCAGAAGTTCTGAGTCGAGGGCAAGAGGAAGAGGAAGAGGCTGTTTCTTTAGCAAAGGAATCCGGGTTCGCTCACTGTGGTCAGATAAACGTTATTTTATCTTGTTGTCTCCTACATGTACCTCAGACTTCTGAGACCTGAGGTGTATCTTGTCTTTGAAGATGAGTCTACCCCTCCCCATCTCACGCCGGTTTCTTCCCTGTGCACATGCCGCACCCCCCTGCCCTCCGGGTCCGTCCCCAGGGGTCCGGTGACCTTCTGACTTCTCCAGGGTACTCAGCCCCTTTCCCTCTGTTTTCTCCACAGCAAGCCCCACCCAACACGGACTGGCGTTTCTCCCAGGCCCAGAGACCTGGCACCAGCGGGTAGGTGACTGCCTCTCCAGCCCACCCTCTTCTCTGCGGCATTTTCTCAGCGATGACGTGGGAGGAGAGGGGGGAGGGCTTAGCATTTGCTACAAATGGCTTCTTCCCTCAGTTCCAGATTTCCAGGAGGTTTTGGTGTATTGGGGGCTGTCATACAGATTCCAGAAGGAAGAGGCTATTTTGGAAGCTCAGTTCACACACTCATCCCCTCCCTTCTCCCACTATGGGAACCTGTCCAATTTCCTGGGGGCTCTGTGGGATCGCAAGATAGATTTCAGGTGGTCTCTGGGTGGAGAGGAAGCGTATTATGCCCGTCGACTGCCTTCATCCCCCCACTCTGGGCTGAGCTGGGCTCCATCCTGACCTGGGGTTCAGGCAGAGAAACCTGGGGCAGGAGGAGGAGAGGAGGAGCCCTGCTGGAAAGAGCAGAGCTAGAGGAGGCAGGTCAGGCAGTGGCGCGGGAGGTGGAGACAGCGCAGCTGGAGCTGGGGCCCAGCGGGGAGAGTTCCCAGGGCGGCCTCCCGTCCCGGCCCCCTCCCGGCCCCCCTCAGGCTGCGCTGGCCCGGCCCTCTCAGCCTGTAGGCCTGTCGTCTCTGCCACTCTCTTATTTCTGCGCCTTCCCTCCCTCTGTCGGTTTGCGTTCTCTGACCTTTTCCTTGGTCTCTGTCTCAGTTTCTGTCCTTGTCGCTGCCTCTCTGTCCCCGCTGCGTGTGTCCACTTGCGCTGGTCTGTGCCTCACACTGAGCCCACCGCGGCCAGGTGCTCAGTAAATGTGGAATCAGTGAATAAATGTGACTTCCTAGTCTCAGTCTGTTTCTCTTTTCTGTCTCTACCTCCCTGTCTCCATCCCGTACCTCTATCCTGTCTCTCCTTTCATCCCTTGCCAGTGTCCTAGTGTCCCTGTCTCTGTCTCTCTCTCTCTGTCTGTCTGTCTCGATCTCTCTAAGTCTGTTGCCTGTCTCTTTCGGCCTCTGGGAGTCTCTTTCTCTGCTTCTCTTTCTTCATCTTTCTCTGTCTCTCTTTTATCCTGTTTGTTACTCGGTGACCCTGTCTGTCTCTCATTTCTTTGTACTTGTGGGCGAGCCAGCACACACGTGTACCCCCACCTCCCTCCTTCCCTGTGCCCCTCACACACAGAGCCTTTGATCTAAGCTTTCCACGCACACCCTCCCATCCAGGCTACCCCAGCTGCTCATTTCAGTCTGGTATGAACTCCTGCTGGGACAGGAACCCCCTGCGGGTGGAGGAGGAGGAAACTTCAGCGGAAAGACCTTCAGCTGGTCTGAGGGAAGTGGGATGGGCCCTGGGCCAGGCCTCCCTGTTAGAAGTCAGGAGCCTGTAGGAGTCCAGAGATGCCTGGAGACTGAGGGGACAGAGCTGGACTGCCTTCCCTGCCCCCTCCCGGATGCTACAGATGCTGAGCCCCAGCTGCCACCAGGACCCAGGAGCCCCTGGTGGAGGGTGGAGGCTCCAGCTCCCAGGCAGGTGCAGTCCATCCCTGGGATCGGGATCTCAAGACACTTCCTAGAAGGCAAGAAACCAGAGGAGCTGGACTGCTCTTGTCCTGCCCTGCACCCAGCGGTCTCCCTTCTCCCCACTGGCCTTGCCAGCCTTCCCATAAGTTATCCATTAGATCATTCTTGTGTTCATTCATATATTCATTCAAAAATATGTATGGCGCATCTACCATGAGCCAGCTCCCATGCTAACCACTGGCCTATAGGAATGAACAGGAAGACATGATCCTTGAACTCATAGACTTTTATGCCACTAGGGAGGCTGGGAATTGACAACAAATCACACACAAAAATCACAGCAAGTTCTGAGAAGAGGATAGTAAGAGTGTGGTGGTGGAAGGGGACAGGGAAGGCCTCCCGGAGGAAGTGACGTTTGAGCCGAGGTGATGGGCGCCCCTGTCCCCACCCCTACCCCAGGCCACATACTGGCCCTGAGGCAGGATCCATCGCTGAACCTGGAAGCCTCACCAGTTGCTTGTGGTGTGCCCCTGGGTTGAGCACGTACCCTCGCCCGAGTTCCTTTCCACCAAAGGAGAGACTGGGTGGCCTGAACATGCACAGGAGCTCTTGAGGAGGTGGAGAAGGCTCGGGAGCTCTCCCATCCTTAACTTGAGCGGTGGGACAAACGTTTCTGATTGGGCTCCGAGGTGGCCCAGGCGAAGCGGGCATGACGGGCCCGGGGCAGCAACTGCTACCTCCCTTCTCCATTCAGTGAGGAGTCAGACCTACAGCAGGCCAGGTAGTATTCTAGGTAGAGGGCATGCAAAGACAAACTGTCCTCGGGATTGTACAGTGTTGGGGGAGACAAGTATTAACCAGTTAATCACCAAAAAAATAAAAAGTACGATCGCAGCTGCTGTAAGTGGTATGAAGAATAGTGTCTGGTAGCGAGAGCTGAGAACAGGCAATTGACGCGATCAGGGAGCAGGAGGACGTCCAGGAGGCAGGGAGGCTGTGCTGGGCTCTGAATGACCAGGGATTAACCAACCAAAGGGGCGAGTGAAGAGCACCCCAGGGGCAGGGAAGAGCGTGTGCCAAGGCCCCTGGGGAGGTGTCTCAGCACAGAGAATGACAGGGAGTTCTTTCTGTGCTGCCGGTCTGATGAGTAGATTGGAGTCTGACTGTGATTCCAGCCCTCCACTACTTTTCTGCCCCACCCCCTCCCCACCATCTTGGCTACTGGCACAACAGGTTCAGAGCAAGGCTAGCCATTCAGTAGACCTGGTTCCAGTTCAAGCCAGCACTCGGGTCACATTGCCTAGACAAAAGGAGGAAAGATTAGCGCTCTGAAGTTCTTGCTTGCCAGGTGCCCCCCCCACCCCACCACTGTACCTCCTCAGGTCATCCTTTTGGTCCCTGATCCCAGCAGCTGCTGTCTCAGGGTCTGAATCCCACAAGCCAGATCGCCCTCCTCTGGCCTAGCCAGGCCCCGGCCTGCAGCTGTTCTGGCCTCTGCACAGAGGAGGCGTCTCCACTCGGGTCTCTGGGACGCTTTTGCCCCAGGCCCCCTCACCCAGCGCCTCCCGCCTCCGGCCTCTGACAGACCTGCCTCCGCAGTCCCTCAGTGTGGGTGGCCATTCAGCAAACAAGGAGCAGCTTACTTTTTTCCTGCTTGTAAAATAATACATGCTAATTATAGAAACATGAGAGAGAGCAACTTTTTTAAAGTACTCATAATTTCACAACCCAGGGAAACCACCCGTGACAATTTTTTCATATGGAAAATTTCAAATCTATATGAAAGTAGAGAGAATAACAAAACGAACCTCCGTGTGCCCACTATTCAGCCTCAACAAATTCCTGATCTTGTTTTACTTCTGTCTTCACCCCACCCTCTCTCGCTTTATTTTGAACATCCTCAGCCGTTATATAATTCTATCTCAGTCTTCACTATCTTTAACAATTTTTAAACATGTAAGCACTAAATATATTAACAAACTAAAATTAATATATTAGTAATAGAAAATATTAATAAACTAATATCACATTTTCCCCAATTGTATCTCTCTTTCCATTAACTGGTTCGTATGCTTATCCAAATCGAGGTCTCCAGTCTGTGTTTGGCTGAGCATCTCGATTCTCCTAAGTCCTTTTAATACTTTCACATGTATCTTTCTAAACCCTTGTCTTTGTGCAGTCAAGCCACGGGCATAGGCTTCCTCTTTTTAAAAAAATCTAATTTACTTAAATAAATTGTTTATGAGTTTGTTCACAGAATACTGAGAACTTTCATTCCCAGTAAACTGGTATATTTATCACTGTTTTGTTTTTCTTTGCAGTAATTGAGGTCATACTCTTCATTATATTGTAGCTTTTTTGTTGTCTTTGCAATATATAACAAAAATTCCATAAAAATTTCCTGAAGTCATTTAACTACCACATGATAGTCCCACGTATAGGGTGGGGCAACAGCAGGCTTACAGCTGTGCCCACATGAAGCAGTTTATTCCTGCATTATGTATGACTTCTCAGTTATTGTTAACGAACAACTGTAAACTTACTTTTGCCCAGCCCTGTATGTGTGCATTTTTAAATGCTGATAGGCTTTTGCTACATCGAAAGTGTATCCATGCGCTTACATTTTATCAGTTACTCCAGGCTGTTGTCAGGGGCGACTTCCCCGAATTTCATCTTTTTTTTGAGCCTGTTTGTACCAGAGCCCACCTCTGGGACGCTCCCCAGCACACGCCCAGCAACAGGATGCAAGCTCCTTGGGGCAAGGACAGCATCTGTCATCCCGCAAGTCCTAGAGGGCCTGCCACAGGCCCTGCCCCGCAGTGGGCGCTTGGAAAACCGTTGGTTAGATGTAGTTTCTCTCCTCCACTTTTACGTTTTTATTGTTTCCCAAATCCTAGAAGAGTCCCCTATACTTGCGTCTGGGGGTCCAGCCCCTCCCTGCTGAAGCCCAGTGTGTTGCTGTGTATGAGACCATTGGCTTTAGGGACACATTAGGTCTGTTTCAGGTTGTAGCTCCTCCAGTTAGTGGCTGTGCAACTTTGGGGAAAGTTCGTCAGCTTCTCAGAGTCCTGGTTGCATCTGCTGGAAAATAGGGCTAATCACAACACTTACGGTTCTGAGGTTAAAACAGACCCCCACACGCACACACTCCAGTCGTCCCCTCATCTCCTCCCAGCTTCAAAGAGCTGGCAGCCTGCCCACCTGCTTGGCCTTCAACCTTCAACTGTTTCCAACCCTCCTTACAGCCCAGCTCACCCCCTTCCTCCTACTGTCACTCCCTCGACACCACCGCCCACCTCTGCAGGGCGTCCGGCCGTCCTCCTAACCCGGCCTCTGACCCTGTTGCCCACCTCACAGCCCCAGTTCTTCCCCTAGCTGCCCCCCACTGTCTGCTCTCCGAGTGGCCGCATTAGGCCCTTCACTGAGGCCTGAGCCCGCCTGCCTGTGCCCTGTGCCCCGGGGCAGGCCCAGGGAGTTCAGCCAGGCTGCCAGGCAGGACTTCTGGGTTTTCATGGAGACCGGCTCCTGCCCTCCCAGAGCTGACCGACCCTGGGTCCTCTCACAGGAGCAAGAGTGATCTGTAAATCACCCAAAATCTGGTCATGACAACCCCCTCAAACACTTCCCAGCGCTCCAAGCAGGAGACACGAATCTTCGCGTGGCTCTGCAGCCACAGCCCTGAGGACGCCTCCCCCTGTGGCCGCCAGGCTGGCTGGCCCCGAGTCCTCTGCCCCGGCCTCTCCCGGCCTCAGGGCACTGGCTCTCTCCCACAACACCACCCACACCTTCTAGGAAACGTAATCTTTTTTACTTTGAAATGTTTCAAACCCATGGAAAAGCTGAAAGAATAGCATGATGAACATCTGCAGTTTTTTTACCTAAATGCATCATTAGTTAATATTTTGCAGATTTGTTTTATCTCTCTCTGTACTGACACACAAGCACACTCACACACCCACACACACTCATACACAGACTCACACACTCATGCTCTCAAACCCTCAAACCCTGGTGCCAAACCCTCATCGTGACCTGACCCTGGCCGAGGGCCTTTTCCTATTCACTCAGCCCAGGCAACATGGGTTCACTGAGGACCTTCCGGTGCCAGGAGGTGCTAAGAGCCGCCTGGTAGTTGGTGTATGTGTCAGGGTGCTTCCCCCTTTGCTCAGAAACGGAAAGACTTTGGTCCTTGATAACTCCGAAAGGGCGAAAGGGCGCGGAGTTGGACTGGAACCCCGAGGGCTCCTTTCCGGTCAGCATTTCTCCCGGGAGCGAGGCACTCCACGCTCTTCTCAGCCCTCACGGCGTCCGTCTGTCCGGAGGCCCGGCTCAGGCGCTGCAGAGGGAGCGGGCAGGCGGCCCTGCAGCAGGGGCCAGATCCGGGGGCCCGGGGCCCTCTGACACGCTGCTGGTGGTACTGAGGCAGAGGGTGGGAACCGGCCTTCCAGAGGACAGCATCTTCCCTGGCCTGGCTGTAAGGGAGAGCTTGAGGAATTAATTAGGGAAGCGAATCTGGGCTTTGGGGTGTTCTTGTAAAGTAGGAGGGGCGGAGCCTTACCTGCCCTGCACTCTGTGCCGAGGGCTTCTCGCCGCCCTGCCCCAGGCCCCCCTGGGCCTCCCCTCTCTGGGCCCTCACACCTTTCCCTGGCTGACACGCTCTCTCCCGTCTCCCACCTTCCCTGCCCGGGAGAGGCCCGGACCCCCCCACTGTGACTCTTCCCTGCTCTGTGTGTCCAAGGCCACAACATCCGCCCGGGTCTGAGACAGTGAGGCGCTGGTGCGGGGGCCTGACTAACGGGGCCTGGCTTCTGAGGGGTTGTGCAAACTACCCCCGCCTCGCTGACTTGCTGTCGGTGGTGGGTCTTGGGTGCGAGGTGGGGATAGGAGAGTGGGGGCCCCTGGGAGAGGACAGGGTGGGGACCAAGCTGGCCTGGGACGCTGTGCTCACCATCCCACTCTCCCTCCAGCTCCCAAAATGGTGATGAGACCGGCACCTGGCCCAACAACCAGTTCGACACGGAGATGCTGCAAGCGATGATCCTGGCCTCCGCCAGCGGTGAGTGGTGCTGGGGGGGCTCTTCAAGTGCAGGGGGCGAGGGTGAGATGTGGGGTGGGGTGGGGTCGGAGGTGGGAGGCCTGGGGACCTGGGGCGTCCCACAGCCGCCACGCCCGGAGACTGGCTGTCCACCCGCACGGTGTCTGTGGATCTGTCTGCTGGTTTCGGAGGACCTGTGACGGCAGGACATAAAGGCAGGCTGAGGGACAGCTGAAGGAAGAAAGGGGTAATGGGGTGCCCAGAGGGGAGGGAACATGGAAAGGCCCACTGGGGACATGTGCAGGGCAGTGGTTGAGGGTCTGGCTCTGGAAGGGGACAGTGTCAGTCCAGTCCCAGCTCTGCCTCTTAGGGCCTCCGTGACTTTGATCAGTTTGCTTCATCTCTAAACCTCAGTTTCCTGGGCCCAGAAAACGGGCAGCAACGAAAGGGCTGTCGTGAGGCCGAAAGGGGAGGGCACCGCAAAGCAGGACCGAGGTCCACGGGTGGGGGTGCGCCCAGCAAGGCCAATAGGCTCTGGACGTTTGAGACCTTCTCTCTGGCCTGCAGACCCCACCTTCGGAGAGGGATTGTGGTCTTCTCACGCAGCTGACAAAGAACGTCACATGCAGTGGGGGAGCACAGGATGGCTGTTGTCCCTAAAGAGTCACAAGGGGCCTGAACAGGGAACTAGAGTCAGATCGTCAGCACTTGGGCTCGCAGGCTCGGAGGCAGCCGCGGTCCTGGTGCTGCTGCTCCAACCGCGAGTCCTCTGGCAACTTCCCAAGCCCCTCGGGGCCTCGGAGGCACTGCCTCTGAAATGGGCGCAGCAATAACAGCTCTCGTTGTGGCGTTGTGAGGGCCAGTGTCAGACCCCGGCACGGAGTTGGCAGAGAGCAAGGGCACAATATGTAGTGGCCAAAGCTGATTGATTATGATCTTTATTGACCCATGGGAGTAGAAGGAAGACAGAATTAGAATAATGCCCATTAATAAAGACTAGCTTCTGGAACAGCAAATCCCGGGCTTACACGGAGGGAGGCCGGTGGGGGACGAGGGCACTGGCCTCACAGTGGCTGAGAGCCCTGTCTTCCTGCATGGAGGGCTGGTGGGTAGAGAGTGAGGTAAAATCAAACAGTCACCACGGCCACGCCTGTGCGTCGCCCCGGGTGCGTGTGTGGCAGACACCCTTCGTGGGCCTCGCGTCTGCCAGCCCCTGGGCATCTCTGCAGGGCACGTCTGATGGCCTTCCATCTCTCAGGCAGGGGAACCAAGCAGTCACTTCTCCAAGGCAGCAGACTGGCCGTTCTAAACTGGCCCGACTCCCAAGTTCATGTCCTTTCTGCTCCAACGACCATGTCTGCCTTGAGATCCAGCCTCAGTTTCCCCTTTAGCTAAATAGTTCTAGAGGCTGAACTATCATTGTCCTGCTTTATTCTCCCAGGTGAGGGTCGCCAGATAAAACACAAGATGGTCAGTTAAATTTAACTCCAGACAAACAACAGAGAATATCCCAGCATAAGTAGGCCCCACACGTTCGTATCAGGACAGACAACGCTAAAAAATTGCTCGTTGTGTACCTGAAATTCATATCTGACTGAGTGCCCTGTAGTTTTACCGCTAAATCCGGCCAGCTTCCCCCAGCTGTCTGCGAGGCTGAGCAAGGCCAGGGCTGTGGTTGGGGTTAGAGGTGGCGAGAGGCCAGACTCGGAGTTTGAACGGGGGAGGGGCCGAGTCTGGGGAGATGCCCAGTTGGGATCTTGAGGGAAGTAAACAGACAGTCAGGTATATTTAGCTCTTGTGGTGCTGAGCCCCAAGGCCAGGAAGCAGGCTTTCCAGCCTAAAGCCAGACTTTAAAAACAGAAATGGAGTATTTATGGCCCCAAACCGTCCCAGAAGGTCCCTGGGTCATTGCAAGCTGCCTCCCTCTCAGAACTCCCGGCCTCTGGCCCACAGAGGGCCTGACCCGAGTGTGAGCTCGGACCCCAGGGACAGACCCTGAGGACTCGGGGTCGGGTCAGGCCCCACTCTCGCCTTCACACCCACAGCCTGGCCCTGGAGCCAGAGAGGCTCCTGGAGCCCAGCCCAGTTGGCCTGTGGGGCTGCTGAGGGGGAGTGAGAGGGAGAGAGTAAGGACACTCGGGAGGCTTCTTAAATAAACACTTCGGCAAGGAGGTGCGCTCTCAAGGAGCCTGCGGTTTGCACAGGTCATCTGGCTGAGGTCTAGCTTGACCAGATCTGGCTGGGCTGGGCTGCTCTGGAGTTGCCGCCCTCAGCTCCAGGGTGGGGAGGGCAGGGTCTGCTGGAGGGTACAGGCTGCTGGGCCTGGAGCTGCGTTCCCGGGCGAGGCTGGCTCGGGAGAGGAGGCCAGCACTGCTTCCACCTCCTCCAAAGCAGAGGGCACCCAGGTCCCTTCTTGCCCCTCCTCAAAGTCTGTTTCTCTTAGACTGAGGGAAGATCCTGGCCCCTGCCCGGTGTGGGGTGGAAGGAGGGGCAGTTGGAGAACTGATTCTACAGGAAGCCCGGGCCTGCAATCCAGCTTCCCCCGCTCACATTTGTAGACAGGGAGCAAACCCCAGTCATGCAGGGCCTGGGTCAAGGTCACACAGCTCGACTCCACTGTACCCTATAGGGCCTGGGCCAGTGTCAGGTCTGGCTTTGACGTTCTCACTCACAGGGGGCTCCTCAGAGTTCTTGGGTGCAGGGGAATGTGGGCAGGCCCAGCTCCCATCTACCCAGTCAAGGCCTTCCTTCCTTTCTGTTCTCACCTCCGGGTTTCTCTCTCGCTGTCTTCTCTAAATCACTGCAATCCTGACTCCGGAAGCCAGGTCTGGCCCCTCCCCCAGCCCCTTCATTCCCGGGCGGGAAGAGGGAACGTGGGAGGGGAGGGGGCCAGCAGCCGAGGTCCCGGCTCCCTCCTGGAGTCAATTAGGGAAACAGAGAAATGTCCATGCCTCACAGGGGCTGGGGGAGGGAGAAAAAGAAGCAAGCAGGCAGCTGCTCCCTCCCTTCACTGCCCCCCACCCAGGTCCTCTGGTCCTGGAATTGGGGGTTTGGAGTGGAGCCTACGGAACCCGCGCTGGAGTGAGAGGCGGCAAGACCGGAAAGACCGGGGCTCCTCCTTGCCTTCTCGCATGCCCCTCCCCCCCTCATGCCATTCTTTGAAAATATTTCCTGTCTCTCTCTTTCTCAATCCCTGGTCTGTGTCCCAGGGTTACTCAGCTTCTCCAGGCTTGAGTCACCCTCTCTACTCACCCCCAGGGTTGGGGCGGGGGCAGAGGGAGGCCGGAGGGAAGCTCCTCTGTCCGCCGGGGCTTTCACCCTCCCAAGGGCAGAAGGGCTCCATGGCCTGCGAGCTCAGCAGCCAAGCCATCCAGCTCCTGGTTCCTTCCCCCTGCCTCACGCACACGGAGCAAGGACACGCGGGATGGGGACGCCGACCGCAGCAGCGAACCCTGGGCCCTGGGCGAAGCGCTGCCTCATTTACGCCTCACGAAAGCCCACTTGGGTGTCTCTCCCTGTGACTGCACACGGACGGCCCAGGGAACCTGTTCAGAGGCGACTCAGAGAGTGCATTTCTAACACGCTCCCGGGTGATGCTGAGCCGAGGCCAGGGTGTGTGTTGCCCCGGACCCTGGTGTGGCCTCGGGCAGGACACTGTCTTTGATGTCACCTGGCTCCGACACTGTGAGCCTGAGATGATGTCCCGAGATCATGATGTGCTCAGCCTCGTGGGACACTCGCACTGTCTCCTCTCCTCTCCTTTACCCAGAGAGGAGTTTGGAGGCCATGCTGCTGTGTGCCCTCCCCACACTCACACACACTCAGGCTCCACCCCTGCTCCGCCCTGTGCTGGCTGGTTTGGCCGTGCGATAGTCTCACCTTCTCGGAGTCTCGCTTGCCTGGTCTATGAAGTGCGGGCCACACCGCACACCGAGCTGGGTTATCACGCTGAGGTGAGACGCCGTCTCGCACGTGCACCGTCTAGCAAAGGGCTTGGTGCAGAGTAGGCAGCAGCTGCGATTCTGGAGTGAATGCCTGAAAGAGCGCCTGCTCCCAGCCAGTAACAGAACTGCAAAGTACCCACCCTGCCCCGGGCACTGGCTAGAGAAGGAGAGGAGGATGCCCGAGCCGTGGCTGAAGGGCCCCGGGAGCCCACAGCCTGCTGTGGAAACCCCAGCAGCTCCCTTGAGAAGGGCCAGGGTGAGGGTTTGAGAGCCAGTGCCTCAGCCCGGAGAGAACAGCTATAGCATCTTTTTAGCCCATACCTTAGGTGAGTAGGTAAAAGAGCTAGGAATTAAATCCAGGCTGTTAGTCCAGAACCCCTTGCGGTGGAGCTGGTCTTCCTAGAGCTCAGCAGGGTCAGGGCTGCGCTGTTGGCCGGCGTTCATTAACTGCTCGTTGTATGTTAGCCCCTGACTTTCCTCTGTCTCTGCAGAAGCTGCCGACGGGAGCTCCACTCTGGGAGGGGGCGCTGGCACCATGGGCTTGAGCGCCCGCTACGGGCCCCAGTTCACCCTGCAGCACGTGCCCGACTACCGCCAGAACGTCTACATCCCCGGCAGCAACGCCACGCTGACCAACGCGGCAGGCAAGCGGGACGGCAAGGCCCCGGCAGGCGGCAACGGCAACAAGAAGAAGTCAGGCAAGAAGGAGAAGAAGTAAAGCGGAGGAGGCCGGCCCGGAGCCACAGGGCCGCCTCCCCTCAGCCAGCCCAGCCTCTCCCAACCTGGACCCAGGCCTGGGGTTTCCAGGGCTCACCCCAGGATCCTGGTGGGCCCTGGGCCATGCTGCCCTTGGGAAACAGAAACAAGTGCCCAGTCAACACCCCCCTCTCTGCCCCCAGGGGTTCGAATATGCAAAGGGAGTTCTGCTGGGACTCCCCATCCAATCGACTGCTGTGCCGTGGGGGCAGCGGGTCAGGGCGGGCAGCGCTGACCACACTGCTTCAGTTACAGCTGAACTCCTCCACCTCCAGATCCAGTCAGGCCCGGCCGCCGCCTGCCCCCTCCCGCCCATGCCACCCCTCCATCAGCAGCTCCTCTTTCTTCAGTGAGCTGGTGGGGGTGTTGAGGTACCTGGTGACCTAAAAAGGTTCCTAGTTCTGAAGAGTTGGAAGGGCGTCGTGACCTCTTGGCCTACCTTTCAATTCTCAAACTTCCCCCAAAGTGTGGTTTGGTGCCAGGCCTTCTCCTCCTTCCCCAGCCTGAGACCCAGCTCATGTTTTGGGTCACGTGGTCACCATTCCGTGGTACTGATGCTTGCTGGATTTAGGGAGAGCATTTTGCTACCATGCCTCTTCCCGATGTTCTAGGGACCAGTTGTTTTGTTTTGTTTTGTTTTCCATTGTTTGATGTCTCCACTGCATGCTGTGGCCGCCCCTCCCCAACCAGAGACTTCACTGCATGTTCCAAGACAGTGTGGGGTGGTCGGACAAAGAAGGACAGAGTGTGCATGTGGCGGGGGAGGGGTGGGCACATCTTGACCCATCAGTTAACAGTTACCAGGAGGCTCCGTATGTCCCCAGGGTACTGACCAGATCTTTCTAGCCATAAACCAAGCACCAGGCCGGACCCTCATCTACTGCAGGCTGTGGGCTGAGCAGCCAGCACCAGTGGATCTAAACTGGCCTTACGGTCCAAGGAAAGTCTGAGCAGGTTTGGGACCGGGTCCCCCGAAGAGATCAGAGTGGCCTCTGTGGGTGCTGGGTACTCCAGAGGTGCCAATAGTGGAAGGATCAGTATGCACCCCCCCACCCCGCCGACCCTGGCCCCCCAGGCCTGGAAGGGAGGGCCAGCTAGGCCGCTCTTGGTTCCCGGGCTGGGGAGGCAGAGGGGCTAGAGCAGGGATCGAGCGGACAGAAGGTCTCAGCCGGAGGCTCAGGCTTCTCCACGGGGCCCCTGCATTCCCCAAGGCTGGGTCCTTCACCTTGCCAGGTGCCATTTCTTCTCCGTTAAGGCCACTGCCCAGGCCCCCGGTGTGCCCCCTCGTGGCCAGAGCCTGGTTCAAGTCCCTAGTGCCTCCTTGTGCATAACCCTAACTCTGTCCACCCACTTCTACCCCCGGAGTCCCGTTCACGCACCGGGGCTGAGCGAGAACCCCACCCTAGTCCTCACAGTAGTGTAGAGACCCCTCCCCCTCCTTCGGCTGGTGTAGAATAAGCCAATAGTGTAGTGCGGTGTGCTTTCCCGTGATGGCGAGTGGGCAGCGGGCAGCGGGCTCCGCGCAGCCCTCTGTCCTCGAATTTGCCCGCGGTGGCCCGTGCTGTGTTTTGTGCTGTGTCCACACGCTGCGGCGACCCCTCCCCGATACTGACTCCTATAAGCGCTTCTCTTCGCATAGTCACGTAGCTCCCCACCCCTTTCCTGTGTTTTACGCAAGTTTTATACTCTAATATTTATATGGCTTTTTTCTTTGAAAAAAATAAAAAGGTTTCTTCTGAAAGTTCGAACGTTTCTGCTTAAATATGGAGGCTCCTGACACATCTGGATGAAGTCACGAGCTGAGGGATGCGTGCTGGGCGGAGAGCGGGATCGGGAGGCGATTGTGGCGGTTGCGTCTTGGTCTGGTGTCGTGGCCGTGAGTCTGTGTATGACTGTCGACCGTGCCTGTTTATGCCTGTAAGACCCTCGGGCGTATGTAAAAGCGTGCGACTGACTCAGGGCGCGGGCGGAACTCGAGGCAGCGCGAGTCCTCGGCTCGCGGGCCCACTGTGGGGGAGGGGCCCAGCGCGGCGTGTCCGTGAGCAGCCGAGCGCGCAGTGGGGCGCGCGGCTGGCTCCGCGCCAGGGCCAACGAGGCGCCAGTCTCCAGGCAGAAGAGGAGACCCGAGCGCGGGGGCGGACGCGGGTTGGCGCCCAGCAAACTGCGCTGCCGAGGGGGCGGGAACGCCTCCTCCGCGCCAGCCCCGCCTCCCCGGCGCCAGCCCCGCCTCCTGAGCGCCAGCCCCTTCCCCGCAGGGCCGACGACCAGCGAGCGCCCCGGCGGGCTGGGCGCGAAGAGGGGGGCTTTCCTTCCCTGTCTCCCTCCGCCCCCGCTGCCGCGGGCGTTTGGGAACACCGCCGGAGAGGCAGGGGATGCCGGAGGCGACTCTCCAAAGGCCGAGTCGGTAGCGGGGCCTGTTTCCCCGCTCGCAATCCACCTTCCCGCTCGTCTCTCGGCCGCAGAGCCAAGGAAATTGGAGGGCTTGTCGCCTTCTTGTGCGGGGGTGGTCTAGGGGACTAAAAGGACAGGAGATGAGGTAGCCCACTTCAGGTCGCCCTCCCACCTTCCCCTCTCTCCGCTCTTGTCCGTTCCCTGGTCCTCTCGCCCGTCTCCCTGCCTCCTCAGCCTGTCTCCTCGGGACTCCTAGGTCGCCGCAGCCAGAGAGGCGGCAAGAAGCACAGAGGGAGGGAAGGCCGGGAGGGGCAGAAGGAGAGAAAGGCAGACCCACTGTGGAGATCGGGCGGGTCAGCGAGGGTGTGCCCGAGCACGGGGAGGGAGGAGGCTGTTTCTGGGCTGCCTCCGCGCCGAGCTTCTCAGAGCCTGGTCCTTCAGTCTGTTGTCATGGAAACCATGCCTTCCAACTAAGCATCAGGGGGCGACTTTCCTGCGTGGGAGAGAGGGTGGTGTGCGCAGCTGCTGAGGTGGAAGCAGGGATTTGCGTCTGAGAGTCAAGCTGCAGAGGGCGGGGAGCCGGGCGCCTGGGTTCTATTCTAGGCACGGCAGTTGACTGGCAGAGCGTGAGCAGCTGTGGCCGGTCCCCTAATTGGTATGTGTGCCTACGAAGCCTTGAGCCAGAATCGCGTGGCCTCTGCGGTGGAGGGAGAAAGGAAGCAGGCGGTCCACCCCACATCTCCAGCCCTACTAGGGAGGCAGCTGCCCAGGCTCCGGGGCTATTTAAAAGGCTCTTATTTCCAGTTCCAGAGTCTGCCCAAATGGGTTTGTGGTCCCCTCCAGGCCCCTCCCTGCCTATTCTGGGTCTGCGCATAGATTGTAAGGTTTCTTTGTGCAGGTCAGTACATGCTCAAACAAGTATGACTCTGGAGCAGCAAGTCACCCGGAGCATGACCTCTGGCGCCTGACCTCTGCTGGGCAGGCTCAGGCTTCCACCCAAGTGTAAGCTCCTCTAGTCTGGAACATGGTGTGTGGCCATCAACGGGGGGGGGGGGAGGGAAGGGGAAGAATGGGTGTCAGATGCTTCCCTCGGCGAGAGGCACAGGTACTGCCAGGAAATTGACACCTGGGGGCATGGGGGCTGGGGTGGAATTTAAAGGTTCCCAGCAATCCCAGGCCGGGAGGCGGCAATGAGGAGGGGCAGGAGGCCTGAACTGGGGCCCCGCTCCCTTATGCCAACCGCAGGGTGGAAGCCACCACGTATTAACCATCTCCAGGCCTCAACTTCAGTATCTGGCACAGAAGGGCACCTTGGGCTTTTTGACGATGTCAGGTCAACCAGGGATTTGAGGCAGGACGAGACAGAGGGGCCTGGATAAGAGTGAAAAGAAACAGCTCCGACATTCACACAGGAGGCTGTAAAGCAGTAGTTTCAATGCTTTATTAACAGTTGGAAACAAACCCAACAAACTGGAGGTGATGACATCCCAGAAGCCCAAGAGGTGAGGGAAACAGGTTTGCATTTTGTCCCGTATTTATTTATTTTATTAAATGCATCTTAGCAAAAGTAGATTAAAAAAGAAAGGGTCAAAGCCCCAGATGTCAGCAGGGAGAAGGAGAGGACCCAGGGAGCGGCAGGCCCTCGCACCAGTCTTCCCGGGAACAGCTCCAAGAAGCTGCTGCCCCCCCCCCGCCCCCCACACAGGCCTGGCAACTGGAGCCCTTCTTCCTGGCCGCTGGGCTTCCTGCAAGTGCCCTCGGTCTCCCTAAGGACTCCCGTATGCTAACAGCCATGGTTCTGGGCTGAGTCCCAACAGTGCTTTCCTCTCTCCCTGCCTGGCAGTGGGAAGATGCAAGCAGCACAGGGAGGGCACAGTGTCACCTGAGCCAGAGTCTGAGCTTCCTGCTGCTGGGGCCACCGAACAGTGTGGCCGGGCCACTGTTTCAGAAGGGCACAGGGCTGCCAAGTGTGGGGCACTCCTGTGCCCACCCCCCAGAGTGTCCAGTTAGCATCTGCACATTTGGCTTGATAAATATATTAAATTTATAAAAACCTCTGTGGTCTCAGAGCTCCCACTACCCTTAGGCCTGGTTCAACTCAACCAGAGAAGAGCTTCCTCCTGTGCCACAACCGGATGCTGGCAGAGAATGCACACGGGCCCGAGGTGCGACGGCTGAGGTGCAGGTCCCAGGGCCCGGGCAGGACTGAGGCCTGAGGGGAGTAGCCCCCGAGACTCTGGAACCTGCCATCGAAGCCTCTTATATTATGGAGGAAAAGAGGGAAAAGATTTATTTTTCTTTTAAAAAAAATCTCATACAAAAATAGATCCATTTGCAAAACAATTTCTCAGCCAGGAGGCTCCACCTCCCATTTTCTTGGAGACAGAGGGTGAGGTGACGGGAGGGTCACAATGCAGCCCATACTCCAGATGAGATGCACCGAGCTCTGGGGAGGGCACGGGGAGGGACCACGGCTCAGGAGCCGGGGGCTGGTGCAGAGGGTCCAGAGAGGCAAGGGCCCGAAGCAGGGCAGCAGGCCGGGCAGACCCCATGGGGTCTCTGTGCCCTGCCTGCCGCCCGCACGCTCTGGCCAAGGCCACAGTGGAATGGATAAAAGTGGTCCCCTGTGTGTGGGAGGCCTTTCTCGGGAAGGTGGAGTAAGAGTGGGATTTGCCCCCCACTTCCTCAGGAGCCGTTCCCCATGCCACACCGCTAGTAATAAATAACTGCCAGGAGAAGAAAGGGTGGAGAGGTGACAGCATTGAAAGGCGGGATACAGCCCAGAAGTTCACAAGCCCCATGCTGTTCTCAGGGCCAGAAAAACCACAAAAGAAAAGCACAAACTCAGCAAAGCTGACCTACAGGAAGCCCACTGGAAAGCCAGGGACCGAGAGAGCAGGCAGGCCTTGTCTGAGACAGGCCTCCACGTAACAGAGGGGAGACACTTGGGGTTAAGGCAGCAGCAAACACGGAGCCTGCTTTGGTAATGCGACAGCCAGGGCCGGCTGGGTTGGGCTCAGACCTCCCCCACACTGCCCCTTCCTTCTGGCCTCCAGGCAGCTGAAGCCGAGTGTCATGTACAGAGAGCAGCAGGCCAGAGAGGAAGACAGGGTCGGGTGATGGGAGCGGCCACCCCACGGGGAATTTCCACAATCCTTCAGGCACAGGCTGCAGGGCAGGATGGTCTGGGGCTCCACGGAGGAGCTGCCTCGGCCACAGGACCCAGATTAGCTGGCACGGCCAACCAGCTCCATGGCTTCCTCCAGGATCGTGGGGACTCCGTCACTGCTCTTGGGCACCTTGGCAGGGATAGTAGTCATGGCATCATCCTTAGTCAGCTCCGAGGCCAGCAGAGAGGTGACTGCACACCCAGCCTTCCTGTTGGCTGCAAGGGAAGATATGAGAGATTTTGTCCACAGAAAGCCCAGCCTCTGACCCCCTCTGAACTCTAGGGCAGACATTTAGCCAGACTCCACACAAACGTGGCTGCCCCATCCGGTTCACAGGGGCTCCTACTATGAAGGAGGGGCAGAGACGTAGGAAGATGTGGAATATGCCCCTGGGTAGGGGTGCAGCAAACATGAGAGAGCACGGCACAGGCGGAGCGCAAGCCATGCCCTTGCCTTCCCATGTGAAAAAGGCGTGGGTTCCATCCTGGTCAGGGCACATACAGGAATCAACCAATGAATGAGCAAATAAGTGAAACAAGTCAATGTATCTCCTTCTCTTGCTCTGAAATCAATAAAGTCTTTTTTTAAATAGTATAAACCCAGCCAGTGTGGCTCAGTAGGTTGAGTGTCGTCCCACAAACCAAAAGGCTGCTGGTTCCATCCCCGTCAGGGCGAGGCCTGGGAGACAGGTTTGGTCCCCGCCTGCAGCACCTGCGGAAGGCAGCCAAATCGGGATTCCCCCTCACACTGGCATTTCTCTTACTTCCTCCCTCCAAAATTAAAGTTTTCCTTTTTTAAAAATATTTTATTTATTTATTTTTAGAGAGAGGGGAAGGGAGGGAGAAAGAGAGGGAGAGAAACATCCATGTGTGGTTGCCTCTTATGTGGCCCCCACTGGGGACCTGGCCCGCAACCCAGGCATGTGACCTGACTGGGAATTGAACTGGCGACCCTTTGCTTCACAGGCCTGTGCTCAATCCACTGAGCTACACCAGCCAGGGCTAAAATTGAAGTTTTAAAAACTAAAAATACAAAGGTTTGAAGACAGCTAGACAGAACAGGGCCCAAGCGTTAGCTATGTAACTTGAAGGGGAGGAAGCACTCAAAGCTGGCTTTCTCCTCCCGGTGCTGCTGGAGTTGAACAGCCTGGAGCTTAGCAAACAGTGTTCCTCTTGTTTTGTGGGCACTTCCCAGGAAGCTCTGAGGCTGAGGGCAAAACCCCAGGGGGGTCCTGCAAAGAGGAGCGGCAGCCCATGCTGACATCACACGCGTGTCACACTGCCACGCGTCCCCCCAACCCTCCCTCCCTGTCCCCAGACGCACACACACCTATAGCTTGGGCATTGGGGGCAGCGGCTTCAACAGCAATGCCAAGGGCCCTACCGTGTGTTTGGGGAGGGGGGACAGGGTGATGAAGCTGAGTTGGGGGAAAGCAGAGCTAGGGTCGGGGATGGCCTGGAGGGGCCAGCGGGCACCAACAAGCCCGTGAGCTGCTGTTCTAACTGCTGGGAGCTGTTCCCAGGACCCTCCTATTCATTCCCTGAATCCAGATTCACAGCCCAGCACCCTGAATGCCCCCTGGGGGCGAAGGCAGGAGACACAAGAGGCCACAGATGCTGATTCTATTTCTGTAAAATGTCTGAAATGGGCAAAGCCATAGAGACAGGAAGTAGATTAGTGGTTGCCAGGGGCTAGGGGCGGTCGCCAGGGGTTAGGGGCGGGGAGAATGAGGAGCGACTGCTAATGGGTATGGAGTTTCCTTCTGGGGTGATGAGAACGTCCTCATAGTGGTGATGGGATAGTGGCGATGAATGCACAGCCTTATGAATATACTGAAAAACACTGACTGTATAAAGGGTGTACTTAGGCACGTGGTTTGTATCTCAATTTAAAAAACAAACGCTTTGACGGGTCTTGGGAAAACAGTGGATGAAAGGAGCAGGGACAGAGGAAGCCTGGCTCTCCTACCCGCAAGCCCCACCCCTACCCGCAGGCTCCACCCCTACACGCAGCCTTCACTCCTACCCGCAGGCAGCTGCGCCCCACTGAAGGGAAGGGGTCCAGAGGAGCCAGTGAACAAAGCACCCAGACACCTTTGCCTTCTTCAGACCAGCAAAAAGCTTGAGAGAGGGCAGAAGCCAAACGGTCAGAGGGCCCAAGTCGTCACCAGGGCCGTTAGCTTCTCTGCAGAAACCCTGTGCTCACACGGCAGAGGCTGCTGACAGGGCAGCAGGGAGCATGCAGCACGCCCACAGGTTACCAGTTTACGGGCGTCCTTCTGCTCCTCCTCCTCCTCCTCCTCCCAAGGGCACAGGGGGCTGTCTAACAAGAGGAGAAAGGAGAGTGAAGGCCCCAACCGACAGACACGAGGCCCACCGGGTCACGGGTGGGGAGTGTGACTCCAGGGCTGCCACAAGAACCACTCCTTGGACCACGCACATAAAGTACTGCCTCGGATGGGGAGGAACCGTGCCCCGCAGTGCGACCCAGCCGGTCTGCACGCACACGCTCCTCCCGTCGTCCTTCTCCGTCTCTCCAGCAACTTCCTCCTCAGGCCCCTAGTTCCCACCCTCCTTGGACGACTGCCCTCTCCGGTCCGCTTCTCATGTCTGGAGAAGCGGTAACATCACACCACTGCCCCTTCGAATTCGGTCTCCAGCGGCTCACAAACCCTGCAACTGTCTGTGTGAGAGAGTGTGTGACGGGAGGAGTGTGTGTGCGTGGAAGTGACTTCTGACTCCAGACCCCGGGCCTCCGGGACACCTGTCCCCGGCCACGAGGGGACGTCAGGGTCCACGTGGGGCGGGTCTCAGCCTCTTCTCTCTCCAGTTTCTTCCTCCCGACCAAGGAGACACCAGCTGTACCTGATCGATCAATGTTTCCAGATTTTAACAGAATCAAAAAGCCTCTGATGCATTACAGATTTCACAGAAGACAGAAGTGGATGGTCAGAAGGGGAAGAGCAGAACTTCCCTTCTAAGCCTGGAGGGAAGGTGCAGCAGGGACGGACACGGTGATGTGGCCAAAGGCCAGCATCGGACACAAGAGCTCTTGTCAGAACTGGGAAGGGAACCGAGGCCACCCGGCTTTCGCTGTGTCTTCAGGGCCACAGTGAGGCTCGAACAGTCGAGAAAAACTGACCCTCCCCTCGCTTCCGAAGCTGGAGCACTGCTGAGGCCACTGAACAGCAGCGGCCGAGGCGGACACTCCTGCTGCCCACCTGAGATCGGGGAGGACTGCTAAGTCACAAGAGAACGGTCCCACAGACTGGGGCGAAAGGGAACAGTCTTGAGACCTTGGTTGAAGCTGAGGCCCGATTCCCAGAAGTTGGGGGTGAGCTAGGATAAAACACCTGCAAAAGCAACCATGTGATACTAGTGTAGATGAATTAGAAAAAGGTTAATGGTTTGGAAAAAGACATTTATAAAAACACAGGCTAGGAACTACTACCGGAGAGGAAGCGCTCTTGTCCTCAGGGAAGGAGGAAAGTGGGACAGATGGGGCGGTCGTTACCCTCCTGAAGGACTCATTACTGTCCCCGTCTCCTAATTACAGTTCCTGTCCCACTTTTACCAAAGTGGAGGAAGAGTGAGTAGTGGTACAGGAAATGCTCTTCACCTGCTACGGACGGTGGTGGTCGCAGAAGTGTCTGGGTGAAGCAGTTTCACCGCGGCCAGGGCTCTCCCTGCTGGGAGGCACAGAAGGGTGTTTCTGGCCTACACTGAAGGTCACTGTCACCTGCTGTCCAGTCATGCAGGCTTAGTGGAAGCAGCCCTGGACGTGGCTTCACAGAAGCAGGCTACAGTTCTGGCCCCACCCTTGGCAGCCAGCTCTGCAGCCCTGGGCAAGGCCATATCTGAGTCTTAATTCCTTTTGGCTCTAAGGAGGTGAGGTGCTAATCACTAGCGGGTTTTAGAGTCCTTCCCAAGCCTACGGTTCTGTCCGTGCAGGCGGTCTTCCAGGGAGCAGGGAAGTAGCAGAGGGGAGGGAAGGGAGGGATGGATGTCTTTCTTCCCTTGACTTTCTCCCAGGGAGCAGATGGCCTGTATAGAAGAGGCTGCAATTCAGACTTGGAGATAAAGTTGAGTCATTAAACCACAAGCAGACTCAATCATGAGCCTGAAATAGGAGCAGTAACATAATCACATGGACTCTTCCCCTGGACACTCGAACCATTGTCCCCCCACGCCCTGTGGTCACCGCAGTGTGCATGTCACTCTGAATGGCCGGCCCTGACAGTGGCCCTCCTCTTCCAACCGCTCAATGTGGGCTTTGTGTGCTGTTCACTCCCTCAGGCCTCCAGAGACAGAAGATTTTTTAAAAAACATTCCTTTAAATCCTAGGGAGAAGGTTAGTGTCCAGGACCGAGGAGGCTGCGAGGCAGGTCTGCTTGGCAGCGCTTGCTTCTTGGCTCAGAGCAACTGGCCTGGAGTGGTCAATCCGCCGAGTCCTGCGGCCACTGCACGAACCCAGGGCCACCAGAGCCTTTGAAGTTCAAGAGTGGGGCCCCTGGGGCCAGCCTCTCTTATCCCCTTAACCCCACTGTCACTGCACTGACAGCCACTAGAGCTGGAAAGGGCCCCAAGGCCATTTCAGTCCCACCCTCACTGAACACAGGAGAAAGAGCCAGTCCGCTCGTCTAAGGTCGCCTGGATGGCACTGGTTAAACTTGACTTGGGGTCTTTTGATCCTAGTCCCGTGCTCTCCGCACCCAACTTTGATGCCTGGCCTTGTATTACACGTAATATAGGCCTCATCGCTTTGCATGAGGTGAGCGCACCAAGGTCAACAGAGCTTACCAGGGTGACTAGAAACGTCCCCCCGAGCGATGCTCCCCAATGTGTTCGGCTGCATTCCGTGAGCCCAGAGCCCAGGAAGACAAGGTTACAGGGTGCAGCCAATTTAAAAAGTATGTAGCTCTCATTTTCACCTTCTTTTTGCATCAGTATCTCCTATCATAAGCCTCATCCTATTCGTTCTTGCACTGGGTGACAGTACTTTGGCTAACGTGGGTCCTCTGAGGAAAACTTAGGTTCTGACAAAATCGCTGCTTCCTCTGGCCGGGAGCCCTGGCTTCCCCACGTGGGAAAAGTGGGGAATGCACCCCCCGCCACCCCAGCTGAGGGAAGCCATCGATGTCCGGCTGACTGTGTACAGGAAGCATCTGGATTCTAGCACAGCTCCACAGGAAGAGGCTTGAAAGGGGATCCCCCACCAAATCTGCTGCAGGTCGGCACTTAGCTGAGAGGACAGAGGAAATCAGTGAGATGCAACGTGCTTTTGTTTGGCTGGAAGTGCTTAACGTACGGCCACATCACCTTATATGGCGGGTGGGAAACCATGGGGCAGGACCTCTGAAGACTAAACACAGAAGAAACACCACCAGCTGCATTTTCTACCCACACACTGATCTACAGACTAAACGCTCCATCCCATCTAATCCCCTGCCCGTCCCCTCCAGAGAGCCGGTACTCAGAGGATGTCGGAGCACGGGCGAGAGCCAGAACTCGGAGAAGATTCAGAGGCCCCACAGCAAAGCCCTCAGAAGGGAATCTCCCCTGGGTGCTCCCAGTACGGGGAGAAACGGGAGGTTGGTCAAAACGGGTGAAACTCACAGCGACCTAAGCCGACTGCGCAGAACTCCGAGGGTCTGCGGGCTCGCGGGCTCCGCTTGGGCCCTCGGCCCCCTTTCCGGGCTGTGGCAGGCACCACTGCGTCAGCAGCCAAGCAGCGGCCAGAGCAAGCTGCACCACTCCTCCCCTTTACATAACCTTCAGGTGCAGTCCATACCCGTCAGGCCTACCCGCGTGCCAGCCAGGGCCGAGGGACACAGTGCTGACACCCTCGGGAGCGGCAACCCCAACGAGGCCTTTTCTGTACCTCCCACCCTTCGACCTGGAAAGGAGCCATCACTTCGTCCCCAAGGGGCTTCGCTGACACGAAGGCCACCACCACACGAGGGACACCTTGGACAAAACCTTTTCTGGACTTGTCTGCAGGCCACTGCACACTTCCTTCAGAGGATACTCACTGCTGACCCTTCCTCCCACATGTGCCTGAATCGCTTGTCCTCCCAGCCCCGTAACTCTCCTTGGGGGCCCTGGCTCAGTGCAGTCCACGTCCACCCTCTGAAGGCCGGGAGAGGAGACTGCAGGGGTGCAAGTGGGGAAGGCATGTGCCATGGGCGCTCACTGCGCCCAAGGAAAAGGAAGTTCTCCAACACAGCCCGATCCTGTCGGCGAGACGCTCCTCTGTGTGGGGATATCGATGCCCAATCATCTCTCTATAGGATTTATACATTTTATTATTCTCTCTCTCTTCTGCTTGTGATGTTGACAGTAAGGACTCCTGACTTGTCTTTTCTTTACACTTTGGTCAATTTTGTTTATACACTCAAACGCCCACCCGAATCTCCGTGTCCTGAACCATGGTTCACTTGCTCCAGGTCCCAGCTTGGAGGACGGGGAGAGATGTGAAATCAGCTGTAACTGACCTGCGGGCAGTCCCTGACGCCTGGTTCTCCAGCTCAGTGCTCTCGCACACGAGAGGAGAACCCCGTGAACCACTCCACAGGCAGGGAGAAGTGTGGGGAAGTTCCCAACCTCTCAGACAGCCGTCGCCAGCTCTTCAGCCCCAAACAAGCTGGTCCTGGGGTAGAGAGGCCCCGTCCCCAGGGGGAGACTCCACTTGCTTACTTACCTTGACGGGGTCCTCTCTTCCGTCGGAATGCTGCGCCTGACTGCAGGGCTTCTAGAAGACTGTCCATCACACCTGTTTCATCGCCTTCTGTCATGAACAAAGACGGAGAAGCCGGCTCTTCAGCCCAAGCAGTGTGCGTGTGCTGAGCCCCACACAACCTGCATGGCATCTGCCTGGCTTCCCCTGTGTCCGTGCTGTCTGGGGACTCAAAGCAGACGGGGGCTCAGCCTGCAGCCTCAGACCAGGTTCAATGTTTGTGAATGGCTCTCTCCTTCCCAAATCCCCGTCAGGACAAACAGAACTGCAGAACTGCCCAACTCCAAGACCAGGATCAGGACAGAGCCTGGGACTATGACATTAATAAGTAGCTATACCTCGCTCTCTTTATCCTACAGTGTTTTACTCCAATTTACATAAACCTTTCAGGCAGCACCTGGTTCCAGTTTCGAAGCAGGGCTAAGGAAAAGGTGAGAACTGCTCAGTGCCTCCCACTGAAGTGCTGCCCCACTGGCTGCATCTTCCCAAGGCCAGCGGGGCATGTTAAAAGGAGCATCCTGGCCAGAATACAAAGAGTTAATGTAGAATCCTTGTTCCATCCTGGCTGTTTCCATGACAACAGCTCAGGGTGGTGAAATCTGAAACTGTGAAATCCCAAGGAGCCTGGAGGCTGCCAGCAACAAGGCTGGGCTCACTGCTCTGAGCGCCACCTGCTGGCTGAACATCACCAATGCTACTGACCTACATTCCAACCTCATTTGCTTGCCCTGGGCATCCAAGAGCCAGAACGGCTGTGTCACCTGATGATTGGTACAGCCCTCATCCCACACATCAGCTGGACTCTATCTTTACCCACTGTGTCTTAGACAGTACCTGGGGGCAAATCCTAGGAGCCTGAGAAGAATGGGTGAAGGAAAAGAATATCTGCTGTGGGCTTAAGTAGCATTACTAGAATAGTTTGTGGCTTCTATACAACTGGGTAAGAGTAGGGGATTGCTTCCCAGAAAAGTATGAAGAAAAGATGAAACGTAGGCCATTCCTGCTGCTCCAGGTCCCTAATATTACAAGAGGAGATTCCAAAGAAAGGCCCCTGGAGTGAGAGGCGTTGGAGCAGCTCTTCTTGCCTCTCGCGCTCAGCACAGCACTCTCATTCTTGTCAAGCCCGGCAGCCCCGAAACCACTCGCTTAGGTGGCTCGTCGCCTCTCGGTTGAGAAGGGCAGCGTGAGCTCAGTGCCACACACAGCGTGCGCTGCATTTCCGCTGGAGCAGCCAGAGCGGGGCAGGGATCGGCAGCAGGAAAGAAGCAGAGACAGGAAGCAGAGGGCCAGTAATTGAGGCCATATGTTTCAACAAAGACATGCTTCTGGTGGTAAAACAGAGATTCTGCTGGAGGAAGAAGAGGGCGGTCAGCTCCCCTGCCCCCTCCCGGAAGTTCAATCCATTCATGATCTGAAAGGTGCGAGTGACGGTGCTGAGGTACTGGGGACACAGTACTTAGAGAAATAAGCAGAAAGGGAGGGCCGTCGCCGTCGCCACGACCACGAAAAGACAGAAGCAGTGCCAGGAAAACACTGTGGGGAAAAGAACAAAAGCCTTAGCTGAGGGTATGAAAAGCGGCCAGAGGCACTCTCAACAGGCAGAAGGAAGGAGTAGTATTACAGCAATACTGAAGTCACTGGGGAGATGGACAGAGTGCAGGACCCAGCGAAGGAGAGAGGAGGGTGTGAGCACAGCGACTGGCCTCGGCATGTAACTGAGGTGGGCTGAAAGTCCAGCATTGGGATCTTGGAGGGAGAAAGCTGACAACAGTCACTCGCCAGGAGCTAAGCTCGGACAGGAGCTGTTCTCTGACCTCCAGATTCTAGACAGAGAAACCTTCCAGATGCTCCTGCTGCAGCCCATTCAGCCTCCTCCGCTTCTTACCTGCGTTCATGTCTATGAGCTGCTCTCTCTTCTGCTGCTTCTCCAGACGCTCCTTCTCTGCCTTCTCCTTGGCTAGTTTTGCTCGCCGCATCTTTTCCTCTGTCTCCCGCCGCTTCTGGTTCTCCTTGACTGCTTGCTGGGGAGAAAAAAAAAAAACATGTGGGCATGTTTGCACTCAAACATATGCACACCCACCACCAACATAAACCCATTGGAAAGTGAAGAATGTTCTCAAGAGTCAGTCAGCAGGTGCTCCTCACTCACCACAAACATATTCTTAAAGTTGTTCAGATCCATGAAGAATTCTTCCACAGTCACCTTCTTGGGGTCAAAGAGGAAGTACTCGCCCAGCTCCTTATAGAGCGCCTCCATGTTAGAATGCATCATCCGCAGCTTGTTGTACTGCTCCTGTGCATCCTTCACGAAGCTGTGCAGCTGCCCAGTGAAGGACCAGTGCCAAGAAGCAGACCCACTTCTCCGCCCAGAGGAAGACTCAAGGATGTGTGCTGGCGTGCACAAAGATGTTCAATACAGCACTGTTTATCTCAAAGCAAAAGCCAGAAGCAGCCTACCTATCTAACACAGGGGCATGGCAAACACCAGCTGTGGCACGCCTAGGAGGTGGCAGTTATAAAAGTGGCTGTTCTGCACACACGGCTGCAGAGACAGCTAAGACAGAGTATGGGCAAAAGCGGTACAACGCATATAGTGCAATTTTTGTATAAAACAGATTCATGACATGCAAACCAGAAAGAAGCCCAGTGCAGTGGTCACCTTGGGAAGGGGAGTGCGGAGGGAGCGCCCAGGCTCACACAGGCAGTGCGGATGGGCAGAGTGCAGGGCAGGGGGACTTGCAGCTTATCTGCATGGTTTGCTTTCCCTGCTGTAACAATGAAAATGCCTTCAGGAACTATGTATTTAGTGAAAAAAAATATTTTAAGGGGCAAAAATTGTACAGCGCCAGATCTACCCTGTTGGCCACCCTCTCCAATTCTCCCCTGGCAAGATCTACCCCTTTCTGGGGGCAACTCCCTGGGGGCAACTCCCTCCTTTCAAGAAAGGATATGGTCATTTTTTCAACAAACTTGTCTTTCTCATCTGTGGCAGCTGGGAAATTCTGAACGTCACGTTCCACGTCAGAAACCTGTTTCTTCATCTGATCTAGATTCTTTTGTAAGTTTTCAGCAGAAACTAAAGGAAACACAGAAACAGACGAGAAGAGCTTACTAAATCCTGCCTCCAGACCCTTGGCCTCCGCCCTTCCGAGCGCGGCCCGCTCTGCGCGCACGGCTGGCATTCTAGCCCTCCCACGCACTCTCTAGTTCCTTCTCACGTCTTTCCAGGGGGGCCTCCAGCCTCTCTTTTTACAAGCTGTACAGGACAGAGAAGAGACAAGAGGCTTCATTTAATTCAACAAAAATCGATGAAATCCCCTGGGATCTTGGTTTCCACTTATTTTCAAGAACAGGGGTTGGAGGCAGAAGACACACAAACACATAGAGGCAGGAAAGAATCTGTCCCCGTTTCTGCTGCAAACGGCCTTCTGTTCGCCTAATTCCAGGATGGCGAGGCCTGGTTTCTGTTAATCCAGTCTATGTTTTCTGCATGAGAATAACCATTGCTGTCTACGGCCATACCACCCTGAACGCGCCCAATCTCATCTGATCTTGGAAGCTAAGCAGGGTCAGGCCTGGTTAGTACTTGGATGGAAGAATAACCATTGCTCTGGACTACAAACACCCACCTTTTTTCCAGTTGTGCTTGATGTCTCCCCTAGGAAGGGAAAGAGTACGTCCCACTGCTATTCATGGAGACCCCTTTTCTGCCTAATACTCCTCCCTGTGGCTTAGACATCAAGCCTATAGCTCTTCTAATTCCCACTTAAAACACTCTAAACCGAAAAGGATCTAAAATCTAAACTGTCTTATTTTCCCTCCCCATGCAGAGATGAGTGGGGCTTAGAAGTGTCTTCTAGCTTCATCCCAGCCTGCCCACCTCGGCTGGCTTTCTCCACGTGGGCAAGCTCATCTGGAAACTTAAGGACGTCGGGATGCTCAGTCTCACACAACTCAGCCAAGAAGTGCAACAACGTCATCTTCTGATCCGTAGACTTGGTGTCCCGAAGCTTGGGGAAGAGAAGAGTTGTTAGTCCTGACGTGTACGAGATCACCTCAGGCCAACAGTCTTTGCTACCTGCGCTCACAGAGGCCAGTGACCTCCTGGCCACGGTTCTGCTCTAACCCTTGGGCTCACCTTACAGAGGAAGCTGATATTGAAGCCGAAAGCCCCCGCGTTCCTGGAACCAGCATTCATATAGTTGCCGACAAGCAACGTAATCTCCAGAAGGCTGGAGAAGTTCTCGCTCTTTCGCAACTCCTCACACGCGGCGGTCACGGCAACAATCTCAGGCTTGATGTTCTCCACTTGCTCACTGAACTGCAGCTTGAAGAGGATGGCGTTGAGGCGAGGCCGCAGGCGGGGCACAGTGCCCATCTAGGGGGAGACAAGCAGCCCCATTACCCCCAGTGAAGACAAAAGTAAGAAACTCTGGGCTTGAGTCACCTATGGGGGGCTCTGAATTCCAGAGCAGGAAGGAGAGAGAAAGGTAGGTTCAAAACAGATGAGAGGCAAGGAGCAAGCGCCCGGGCTGCTCCCAGGAGGAGGGAGCATGGGGGTCGCAGAAAAGCCTATGGCCAGAGGCCCCACTCACCACCACGCCAAACTGCTCTGACTCTGCCAGGTCATCATATTCGTCCTTCAGTTCGGAAAGCATTTTTAACTGCTCCGGCTCTGGCATCTGCTTAATGAGGTTCTGAAAGAGAGAAGGGGCTGTCTCAGTTTGAGGGCACGAGGTGAGAGCTTGAGCCTCCGTCATGCCCTCACTCTGCCCAAGGACCACTAAGAAGGAAACATGGACATGGGGGTGAGGGTGGAGGGGAGAAGCAGCCAGTGAGATGGCAGGACTCCAGAAAAATGTACCGGAAACAACCTGAGCACCAAAGATGGATGCTTACCCAAAGCTGGCATTCTTCAAGTAAGCAATGCCAGAGGAGGATCCCTGCCCTCCAGGCAGACAGGGGACGAGGCCAGTGCATAGCCACGCACAGAGCCAGCTCCAGCACGACCGCCTCGCTCCTTACCTGGATCATAGACTCGGTCAGAACAGCCTCATTCACCTCCAGGATGACATTCTTAATCTCTTGATAGGGCATGCGGAAGGAACCCAGAAAAATTGCTGCCGGAAAATGAAATAAAAAGACGTGTTCTCAGTTTCTTCCTCCTTCCAGCCCATCTTACAACCCTTTGCTGGACAACTGTCCTAACAGGACTCTAAGAGTCACTACCAGAAACCCCCACGGCCCCACACTGCTTCTTACTCAGGTGGAATCCAAGCTCCCGGTCCCGGGTTTAGTTTCCCACCTCCCAGCTTTCCCTCTCGTTCACCCCTGCACCGGCGTCCCATACCAGCAGCACCGTTCCAAGCTCCTCACTCTGCAAACACTGACTTCTCCTTTGCCTGTGCTTCCAGAAGTCTTTGGTCTTCTCTATGTATATTGAAGATGTTCACCCCACTCTCTTTTAGTCAGTTCACCACTCTCGTGACTGCATCCTCAACGCAACCCCTGCCTAGAAATGCTCTGATTCTCCACTACCGAGTCCTGCTTCCTAACAAACACTGCCTGTCCTTCCAGCTCTTGCACTCACTAATCTCTAAATGGGAGTGTGCACTCTCTCTCTGAAGAGAGCTAATCATTCTATTTTTTCTGAACGTATCAGTTCTACTTTGTCTTCTCTACTTAACCAAGACTCTATAGTCTACCACTTCATTCTCTATTGCTATTCCCATTTCTATTACCCTTAATTCTGTTCTCTGGCTTCCTTCTCTCTCCAGCCGCTGGTTAGTCCAGATGTCTGACTTCTCCGCTCTTACCCCAGGGCCGATGCACATGCATGTAAACACCGCAGATCAGCATCTATGAATCTGCCACGGCACCTGTCAGTGCCCCTCCCCACGCTCTCTCTCCTGGCTGTCTTTGCAGCTCCACCAAAATGTCCCCATTCTCCCGACTGTCCCATTGCTTTCGCATTTGTTCTAAGATCTTGCTTCTCATAACTGAAAAAAAAAAACACCCAAAACCTGAAGCCACTGGTGAACTGTGTGCTCAGCTTTCTCTGCTGCCACTTACACACTGAGTGCTAGAGACCCTTGGACGGAACTGGACAAAAAGAGATCTGGGTGAGGACTATTTTGGAATCATCTAGAAGAAAACTTGTAAGCTTATCAGCAACTACACCCATGCACTCATCCCTTCCTCATGATTCAACAGAGCAGGCTGCCCTACGGACCTTTTCCTCCGGCACACGCACACACTCAAGCCGCTCCTCCCTCGAAAAACCCTCTGACCTAATATTCCTCCCTGATTACCAACTTCCTCTTTCCTTCACTTTATAGTTAAAAAAAATAGAAATCTATCGTCTCTCACTTCCAAAACTCTTATTCTTTATTCTCCACAAAGACAATGGAAAGATGACAATCATTTATTGAACGTCCACTTCGTGTGAGAAAACAGTGCCTTAAATACAATCTACACACCCCATCTCACTTACCCCATACATAACAACCCTGTAAGTTTCTATTCTTGGCCTCGTTTGACAGAAAAGGAAACTAATGCTTCAAGAAGTTAAGCTACCTGCCTTCTGGCCAAGATGGAGCCATAGGTGGAAACACTGTGCCTCCTCACACTACCAAGTTTAAAGACAACAAAGTTGTAGTAACAAAAACGCAACCAAAACAGACAAAAATGAACTGTACAGAAGTCTGACAACAACAAACCATTCAGCCAGACCGGTAAGAGGGGTGGAGTCAGCGCCTGGCAGAGCGGGGTTGCGCAGGAAAAAGTGGCCAGACCGACCCAAGCCCGCAGGCAGTGCTTGGCAGATCCCAGACGTGAGGTGGCAATGGGCGGACCCAGTGAGGGCACAAGGTGGCTGGCAGACCACGGTCATACATTCATGTACAGATAAACCAGGCAAAAAAACAAGCAGTGAGACAGACCATGCAAACCAGGCCCCCAGTGCTGGTAATTAAAGCCTAAAAACACCAATTGAAAAAACTTTCGGGGGTTGAAGTGCTGGGAGAGGCTCCCAGGCTCACAGGAGAGTTCATTGGAGAGACCCACAGGGTCCTGGAGGGTGCACCAGGCCACACACCCAGAAACCAGCACCAGAAAGAGCCCAATTTGCTTGTGGGAAGCAGCAGAGGGGACTGAAATGGAGAGAGAGGGTGGAACAAGTGCCATTGCCCCTCTCTGACCCCACCCCCACCCACAGCCACAACCCAGGCACTGGGTCGCCCTGCCCTGTTCCTCTTACGGAATAGGCGCGAAGAGATCAAAACATTATGGCTCAAGAAGAACAGCTCAAAGCCCCAGAGCCAATAATTCTAAGCAACCAAGAGATACCAACCTATCAGATGCACAGTTCAAAACACTGGTGATCAGGATGCTCACAGAACTGGTTGATTTTAGTCACAAATTAGAGAAACATATGAAGGCTAAACTAATGGAAATGAATGGTAATGCACAGGAAATCAATAGTAATGGAAAGGAAACTGGGACTCAAATCAAGGGAGTAGACCAGAAGGAAGGAAAAAATGACCAAACAGAAAAGAATGAAGAAACGAGAATTCAAAAAAATGAGGAGAGGCTTAGGAACCTCCAGGACATCTTTAAACATTCCAACATTCCAATTATAGGGGTACCAGAAGAGGAAGAGGAACAGTCACGAGTGGAAACCTTATTTGAACAAATAATAAAAGAGAACTTCCCCATTCTGGCAAAGGAAACAGACTTCCAGGAAATCCAGGAAGCTCAGAGAGTCCCAAAGAAGTTGGACTTAAGAAGGAACACACCAAGGCACATCATAATTACTTTAGCCAAGATTAAAATGAAGGAGAGAATCCTAGAAGCAGCAAGAGATAAGGGGACAGCCACCTACAAAGGAGTTCCCATCAGACTGTCAGCTGATTTCTCAAAAGAGACCTTACAGGTAAGAAGGGGCTGGAAAGAAGTATTCCAAGGCATGAAATCCAAAGACCTACATCAAGATTGCTCTATCCAGCAAAGCTTTCATTTGGAATGGAAGGGCAGATAAAGTGCTTCTCAGATAAGGTCAAGTTCAAGGAATTCATCATCACCAAGCCCTTACTATACGAAATGTTAAAGGGACTTATCTAAGAAAAAGAAGATAAAAAATATGAACAGTTGGGTGGGAGAAATAGACAAAAAACTGTACTAGAAAAATAACTAAATAAAATTATTTAAAAAAAAAATGAACAGTGAAAGGACAGCAAACTCACAGATATTAACAACCACGCCTAAAACAAAAGCAAACTAAGAGGACAGCTAGATCAGGAGCAGAACCATAGAAATGGAGATCATATGAAGGATTAGCAACAGGGGAGTGGGAGGAGGAGGAGAAGGGGGAAGAAGGTACAGAGAATAAATAACATAGACGGTGGGTAGAAAATAGACAGGGGGAGGGCAAGAATAGTATGGGAAAGGTAGAAGCTAAAGAACTTTGTGACACATGGATGTAAACTAAGGGTGGATAGTGAGGGAGGGGGTGTGCAGGGTGGAGAGGAATGAAGGGGGGAAATGGGACAACTGTAATGACATAATCAATAAAATATATAAAAATAAATAAATGCAAAAAAAGGAAGAAGTTAAGCTACCCATCCAACATTCCACTACTTGTAAGAGGTGGAGCCAAGATTTAAATACAAATAAACTCCAGAGCCTCTGTTCTTAACTCCCATGCTGTACTAAAATAATTCTTGCCTTGGCTACTGACTTTCCTAATGCCAGATCCAAACAGTCCTTATTCTGTCCTGATTTTACTTGGCTCTGGTCTTCCTCTGACACTGTGGACTATTCCCACTTCTGAGGACCATCTCATACCTTTTTTCTTGCTGCTGCTCTCTAGCCCTTTTCCTTTGAGGCCTCCCCCTTTTGTTCTTTCACACTTTATTATTAATAGCCTTCAAAGCAAACTCATGGTGTCAATTATGACTCATATAATGTCTTCTAAACTCCTATCTCCAGCCAGGCTTTCCTTCTGATTTCTATGCCCAAATGCATGGTGGACCCATCCTTTTGGAGGAGTCCCACAGGCACCTTAAATTCTACCCTAAAATTGAGGTAACCTGCCTTGGCTCATGTGGCTCAGTGGACTGAGTGCTGGCCTGTAAACCAAAGGGTCACCAGTTCCATTCCCAGTCAGAGCACATGCCCGGGTTGCAGGCCAGTTCCCCAGCAGGGGGCATGCAAGAGGCAAACACACACATTTCTCTCCCTCTCTTTCTCCCTCCCTCCCCCTCTCTAAAAGTAAATAAAACCTTAAAGAAAATTAAGGTAACCATTTCTACCGACCACCCGCTCCCTGTCATCATGCCCACCACTTACCACTGCTCCTACAACAGACAGAGAGCACTGCTCCTGCTGGATCTCCCCGTCTCAGTAAATTCAGGAAATGGTTGCATCCTCCCAGGGATGTCCAACCCACAGCCCATGATGGTTACAAATGCGGCCCAACACAAAATCATAAACTTACTTAAAACCTCCTTTTTGCTTATAGTTTTTCACTAGTGCTTGTATAATTAATGTGTGGCCCAAGATAACTCTTCTTTCTCCACTGTGGCCCAGAGACACCAAAAGGCTGGACACCCCTGCCTGGAAAACATCTCCTCTATCCTCTGAGTCAGTCACTAAGTTCCGTTAATTCTATCTTCGCATTTTCTACCTTCCTATTCATTTTCACTGCTTTAGTTCCATGTCCTGATCACCTCTGGGGTAGTTTAAAGCAATGATAGAACTCATCTCTGCCTACAGTCTTCCTCACCCCAGCACTGCAGCCTCAAAATCAGCGCTGAAGTAGCCTTCCCCCAAATCACACGGGGTTGTCCCATTCACTTTCTTGATTGAAATCCCTTCAGTAAATTCCATAGCTTTCAGGATAAAATACATACTTCTTAGCCTAAACCTACCAGAATTTTTATGACCTACCCTCTACCTATTCCTTCAGAGCTTCTTCACCCTCCACTCCCCCAGCTATACTTAAGAACCTGTAGATTCTGAACTGCACAATATTATCTCATGTCTCTGTGCCTTCACACATTCTGATCCCTCTACCAAACCACCTAGCCCTTACCCTTCACTTAACGCACTGTTAATAATTTATTTTTTATTTTTCAAAATTTACTAATTTGAGGAAAAGGAGAGAAAGAGAAACATCTATTTGTTGTTCTACTTATTTATGCATCCATTGGTTGACTCTTCCACATGCCCTGACTAGAGATTGAACCCACAGCCTTGGCATATTGGGGCAATGCTGTAACCAACTGAGCTACCCGGCCAGGGCTCACCGTTACTACTCAGTTTAAGCAGTACATCCTTTAGCACGATCTCTCGGATGTGCTCCCTCCATCACAGAACTTACCACACTCTGTGCCACTACTTCTGTTATTTACTTTTACGCCTCCACCCAAACTACAGTTCATGAGGAGAGGGGCTATGTCTCATTCAGTTCAGTATCCCTAGCATGTAAAAGGCACTTAGTAATTTGAGTCATTAAATTGCATCTCCTAGACCATCCTATCCTAAACCAATCTCAATTCTCTTCCTGAATTCTGCCTTCCACATTGCTATCACTCGGGAAATCACACTGCACTGCCCCACCATCTTGCATCATTTTCTGAAATAATAATGACTCACATTTACATTCCCAGAGATAAACCCTGAGAAGAGGAATTACTTCTCATTACTTCAGTCTCCATAAAAGAACTTACGTACAGATTCTGCTTAGTAATATTTGTTCACAACGATGTAAGATTATGTAGCCAAGAATAACGTAAAGGCTTAATGTCCTCTCACTGTATCACTGACTTTACTTAACGGGTGTACGTACTCATTACTTGTGTGGCCTTGGCCAAGTCCCAACAGCTGAACTTTAGTTCTCTCACCTGAAAAATGGGGACGGCAGCTACAGCACAGGATTGTGAGCGGGTTGTACAGACTACACGCCCTTTCCCATCTGGAGCGCATTCCTGCTGTGTGCCAAACAGAGCCCGTGACACAGCAGGCCCTCAGACATTTGTGGAGAAAATATTTAAATCTATATTTTCAGAGAGCTCAACAGCTGACACAAACAGAAAATGAATGTATATTCTGATCATCAACTAAGTAGGACCTATATCAACTTTGCAGGAGTTTCTGGTCTGAAATTCTGCCACCAACCAGAATTGTAAGTAGCAAGTTCAGAACAGAACTCGTTGGAGTTTTTGATCCTACTCTGAGAAGTCCAGAATTTACATTATTTTTATCCTAAACCACAAAGTTATTTTAGATTTAATTGAAGTCAAGCCAGCACCTGCATTTAGAAGGAAATACTTAAAAGAAAGTAAGAAAGATGGAAATGTACAGTAGCTAGAACATTTGTGATGGGTTTTCTGTGGATGCAGTGGAAACACTTGACAGCTTTGAAATAAGAAAATCCAAGGTTCAAAGCTCAGATATATCTTTTACTAAGTACGTGATTATGCAAATTCCTCAGAGTCTTAGCCTCTATTTCCTTGCCATAAAACTATATACTAACAATCTTGCAGTGCGAATAAAGTGATTAAACAAGGTTGAAAATTCAATATGCAAGGCCTGGCGTACAGCGGGGACTCAGCGAACGGAATTTTCACATATCAAGGACCCTGGATTCATCAAAATTAAGCTCTCAGAAGAAATCCTTCACATTTCAAGTAGTTCAGATCACAGAATTACTTACAGAGATTCTGCGCTGTCTTTGAATCCAACACCTTTAACTCTTTTACTTTTTTCTTTTGCACAGATTTCTTTTCCTCTCCACCTTCCTGATCCTTCTTGGCTAGAATGAAAAAGATTAGAAAAGCACGATTAAGAACAAGCCACATCTGTACCTTATTGAACTACTACCCCATCCTGGAAAGGCCCCTTGCTACCTCTCTATAACAATGGTTTCTCTATTATATTCCTTCAAGGCAAACCCTCTATTTAACTACCTGCCCTTTTATTACTTACTTCCCCCTTCAACTATTAAAAATCTCATTTTCAACTTCCAGTCAAAATGGCGGCATGGGTAGACATACTTCACCTCCTCACGCAACTACAGAGAGAATTACAACTAAACCTCAAAACAAATAACACCCAGAACTGTCAGAAAATTGAACTGTACAGAAGGCTGACAATCAAGGATTTAAAGAAGCCACATTATCCAGACAGGTAGGAGGAGTGGAGACTTGGAGATGGAAGGAGAGGTGGTGGATAAATATCAGGAGGGATACCTTGGGAGCAAAGATCCCAGGCCCAGGTCAGACCGCACAGCCCAGAGTTCCAGTGCCAGGAAGATAAATCCCTGTAACTTTTGTCTGTAAAAACCAGTGAGGGCTGGGGTGGTGGAAGAAACTGCCAGGTTTTCAGGGGACACCATTTAAAAGGATCTACATGGTCTTAGAACATATGCAAATCCATTCGCTCTGGTATTTAGCACCAGGGCAACATCTGGACAGGTGTTGCACACAGGGAGTAGGTGAAGTGACTAGAAATGGGTGATGAGTGCCAGGCAAACCTCCAGAAGCTAGGCAGCATTACAGTCCCTCCTCCAAGCCCTACCCCCATACAGAGCCACAAAGCAGTGAAGTGAGTTGCCCTGCCCTGCAGATTACCTAAGGCTCCACCCCACACAATTTATAGGTGACTTTTCTGCAACAGGCCATGCTACTAAGGGAGTCAAAGCAGGTCTACCTAATACACAGAAACAAACACAGGGAGGCTGCCAAATTGAGGCAAAGAAACATGGCTCAAATGAAAGAACGGAACAACCCCCCAGAAAAAGAATTAAACAAAACAGAGACACTCAACTAAACAAAACAGATACTCAACCTATCAGAAACAGAGTTCAAAACACTGGTGATCAGGATGCCCAAAGAACACACTGAGTATGGCAATAACATAAAGGAAGAAATGAAGGTTACACTAAGTGAAATAAAGAAAAACCTACAGGGAATCAACAGTGAAGGGAAGGAAGCCAGGATTCAAATTAATGCTTTGGAACATAAGGAAGAAATAAACATTCAACCAGAACAGCAAGAAGAAAAAAGAATTCAGAAGAACGAGGGTAGTATAAGATGACTCTGGGGCATTTCCAAATGTACCAACATCTGAATCATAGGGATGACCGAGGGAGAAGAGGAAGAGCAAGAAATTGAAAACTTATTTGAAAAAATAATGAAAGTTAAAGAGAGAATCTTAAAGCAACAAGAGAAAAGCAGAGAGTTACCTACAAAGAAGTATCCATAAGACTATCAGCTGATTTCTCAAAAGATACTTGGCAGGCTAGAAGGGACTGGCGAGAAGTACTCAAAGTGATGAAAAGCAAGGACCTACAATCCAGATCACTCTATCCAGCAAAGCTATCATTTAGAATGGAAGGGAAGATAAAGTGCTTCCCAGACAAAGTGAAGCTAAAAGAGTTCACCATCACCAAGCCATTATTACATGATGTGTCTAAGGGGTTTATTTAAGAAAGAGATCAAAACTATGAATATTAAAATGGCAACAAAATCACAACTATCAACAACTAAATCTAAGAAAACAAACTAAGCAAAAACCCAGAACAGGAAGAGAATCACAGATACGGAGATCATTTGGAGGGTTATCAGCTGGGAAGGGGAAGGGGGAGAATGCAGGGAAAGGTACAGGGATTGAGATGCATAATTGGTAGGTCCAAAATAGACAGGGGGATGTTAAGAATAGTTTAGGAAATGGAGAAGCCAAAGAATGTATATGTATCACCTGTGGACATGAACTGAGGGGTAGGGTGGATTGCTTCAGGGAAGGAGGGTGCTGGGTGGAGAGGGGCAAAGGGGGGAAAATCAGAACAATTGTAATTGCACAACCAATAAGATATATTTTAAAAATTAAGTTAAACTAGGTCAGAAAAAATCTCACTTTCATTTCTTTAATAGTTTACAATGCTTTCCCACCTACATCTTATCTACTTGCAGAGAGCAGCTAACGTTCTGTAAAGCACCAGCTGGTAAATGTTGTAGGCTTTGCAGACCACGTGGTCTGCCTCAGCTCTGCCACACAGCGTGAGAGCACTCACAGGCAACAACACACAACATGACTGGGTTCCAATAAAACTTGATTTTTAAAAAAATTTTTATTTATCTATCTTTAGAGGGGAAGGGAAGGAGAGAGGGAGAGAAATATCAATGTATGGTTGCCTCTCATGCGTCCCCTGCTGGGAACTGGCCTGCGACCCAGGCATGTGCCCTGAATGGGAATTGAACCGCGATCATCTGGTTCACAGGCCCACACTCAATTCACTGAGCTACACCAGCCAGGGCTAAAACTTGATTCTTAAAGCAGGTCAGCCTGAGGGGCTATAGTTTGCCATCCCCTCTACTAGAGTCTACCACCGTGTTATCCTTTTGTGCCTATTAAACATCCTATTTATCATTCAAGCTCCATCTTGAACAGGAGTTCCCTATAACATTTTTCTGGATTTTCCCAAATGCCTATGATCTTTCTCTCTCGGAGTCCCTGTTGATTTTGCTACTTCTTTTTTTTTTTTTTTTTTTTTAAGATTTTATTATTTATTTATCTTTAGAGGGGAAGGGGGGGAGGAGAGAGGGAGAGAAACATCAATGTATGGTTGCCTTTCGTGCATCCCCTGCTGGGAACTGGCCTTCAGGGAACAGGCCTGCAATCCAGGCATGTGCCCTGACTGGGAATCGAACCGCGATCGTGTGGTTCGCAGGCCCGCGCTCAATCCACTGAGCTACACCAGCCAGGGTGCTGATTTTGCTACTTCTTTATATCAAATGCTCTCACTGACTTTGTTATAAATCTATAGTGTGTCTCCTCAACCAGATAAGGACTTTGTTATTTCTCTTTGCAAATCTCATGGCATAAAAATATATTTCTTGTTGAATCTTATTGCTTAACCATCACAGTGCACACATGCACCGAAGGCACAATTCATACTTTCTACACTTTTCAGACTGTTCAAAAACTAATATGTTCTTCCTCTTCTGTGAAGATTTCTCTGATAAATGTACTTATTCTCTCCTTTGCTGAACTAATTTTCATGGTATTTGCTACCTATACCTGATATGACAATTATTATTCAACGTTAATTATTCAATGTTTTGTGATATTTTGTAGGCATCACCTTGATCTTTTAAAACCTGTGTTACTTTACAATTGTGCAATTGTGGATACTTTCCCATCCTACCTAGGCTTTGACCTTCAAGAGCATGAGCAAAATAGTATTTTCATTATCATTCTCTAAGCAGCTGTTATGACAGCGACATTCACTAAAAAACAGTTTATACTAGCTAACAAGGAAGGCCGAGCAGTAGACAGAAATGGAAATGGACAATGTTAATTGTAAAGTTTTCTGTCCTATAGTGTAAGTTGGTATCAACTGTTTAGAAAGCAATGCAAGAATATCTGCAAGGAGTGTCAAGACACTAACGAAGCTCGGTGCTTGTGAGAAGGGCACGGGCACTGAATACAAAAGTGGAAGGGAGATTGTTCGACACAAACGCATTTATACCATTTAAATGTTAGACCATACAAACACTACTGATTGGTACAAATAAGTAAGAAATAAAGCAAACCAAAAGATGAAGTTATATGGCAAAAGTTACACAGAACTACAAAAAAAAATCCATCCTTTGGCCTGAGAGTCCCAAATGGAAGAAGAAAAATGCCCAATACATAAATATTACTTACTTACAAATACTGATTGAGTATCTGTATGTGCCAGGCTCTGTTCTGGATAATGGGAATAAAACAGTGAACAAAACAGAAAAATTCCAGCCTTCATGGGACTTGTGCTCCAATGAAGAGAAATAGACAATGAAATGATTCACAGATAAAATAGTGTAACAGATGGTCAGGGAAGGTCTTAGTGAGAATGTGACACCTGAGTGAAGACCTTTTATAAAATGAGAGATCACACCATGTGAACATCTGGGGGTGGAGGGGGTGCAAAGGCCTGAGAGAGAAGTGCACCTGGTATGGGGCCAGATGGAGTACGGGGGGGAGATCAGCAGAAGAGTGGGGGGGGTAATCACATTTAAAAAAAAAAGAAAATTAAGGGTATTCAGATAAAAATGGAGACCTAAAACATCTAGAATGTATCACAATTTTAGCAGGGAAGGAGAAAAATAAAAGTATTATATTTCAAAACTGAGGAGAGAAAGGGCCCCAAATGAAAATAAAGTTTCTACACTTCATTCGAATTGGCAAATTACTGATATTATTAGACAAGGGTAAGTTAGGTATGTGTAGTGTTACACCTAGAGCAACCCACCTCAGCGAACTGTACAAAGCAATATACTCAAGCATTATAAATATGTAGAAGTAGAACCTTGAAAAAAACGTTCAAAGAAACCATAGATTAGTGGGGGGAAAGAGAGAAACAGAAAACAATACAATGGCCCACTTCAGCCCTAACATCCATTATTAATATAATGGTCTAAACACAAAAATTAACAAAGACTTGCTCTAGTGCAACTGGTTGGCAATTAGCTTTTCTGGTTGCAATGTAAGTGCCTGACATTAAGCATCTGATTGCTGAGGCACCCACTTCAAAGACATCCATTTGAATAAACCTACTGCCAGCTACACAACTACACACAGAGCCAGGCCGTCCACCCACTTAAGTTCCCCTTTTAGAAAGTCTTGGGCTACCTACATAACTAACCATTTCAGTGACCCTGCTCTTCCCATTCTTATCCTTTAATTTCCACTTTTATATTTTAAATTCACCAATAAAGAGGGCACCTGTGAAACCCTAGGCATCCCACCTTAACCCCAGTAAAGGCAGAACCCGA